GTAGCTTCACTGCAGTACAAATTCTCCTTGTGAGGCAAGGGCTATGGAGCAGCAGATGAAGCCTCAACTCCCTGTTGCAGCACCAGTTCAAGTCTCAGCTCCTCTGCTTCTGATCCACTGTCCTGCTGGTGCACCTGAGAACACAGTGGATGAAGGCCCAAATACTTGGGTTTCTGCTGCTCCTGTAGGAGATGGAGATGGTGTTCCATACTCTTGACTTTAGTATGACCTTGGTGCTGTTGAAATCATATGGGGAATAAATCAGTAGATGGAAAACATTCTCTCTCTCTCTCTCTCTCTCTCTCTCTCTCCCAGTCTCTTTCAAACCTTCTGTTTGCTCATCTTTCCCCTGTCAAACCCTGCCAACCACTGAACTTTGTCTCCACAGTTTTGCCTTTCCAAGATGTCATAGAATTGGAAACACCCCGTACCCAGGCTTTTTAAATTGGTTCCGTCTACTTACTAACACATGTTTAACTTTTTCTTATGCCTCTTTGTGGTCTGATGGCTGATTGACTTGTAATACGAAATCGTTTTTCATTGTCGGGCTGTGCTGTTGATTATCCTCTCATCTAGCCGCAATCATCTGGGTGGCTTCCAAGTTTTAGTAATTAGGAATGCGGTTTGGCATGGGCTTCTTCAGGGAAGTGTCAAGGAATGTGATTGCTTCGTTGTGTGGTATTTCAATTTGCATTTACCCAGTGAAATATGTTGTGGAGAATCTTTTCATATGCTTGTATTGTTTCTATGGCACTTGTTTAGCAGCTGTTAAAATGTTTGGCCCATTTTTAAAATTGTATTGCTTTTCTGATTGTTAAGCCTTTAAGAATTCTTTGTTATTTTGGATAACAGTCTTTTTTTAAAAAATTTATTTATTTTTACTGGAAAGTCAGTTTTTTCAGAGAGAGGGAGAGACAGAGAGAAAGATCTTCCATCTGCTGGTTCTCTCCTCATTTGGCCATCCATGGCTGGAGCTGAGCCAATCCAAAGCCAGGAGCCAGGAGCTACTTCTGGATCTCCTACGCGGGCACAGGGTCTCCAGGCTTTGGGCCATGCTCCACTGCTTTCCCAGGACACAAGCAGGGAGCTGGATGGGAAGTAGAGCAGCCAGGACATGAACCAGCTCCCATATGGGATCCTGGTACATGCAACATAAGGACTTTAGCCACTAAGCCATCATGCTGAGCCTCTGGTTAACACTGGACGGTGATCCAAGTCCCAAAGACCCTGCACCCAAGTAGGAGACCTGGAAGAAACACCTGGGTTCTGGCTTCCAATTAGCCCAGCTCTGGCCACTGCGGCCATTTGGGAAGTAAACCAGCAGACGGAAGATCTCTTTCTCTGCAAACCTAGCTTTCCAATAAGAATAAATAAATCTTTAAAGTTAAAAAATGCTTCCTTGGAGTTTTTCCAGAAGATGTGTATTTCAGATATTGATCTGTTGAGCTACTTTGCCTTTAACACCAATTGGATGGTTTTGTGTACTCTCCTCTCCTTGTATTGTCTTCCAGGGTAAATGATGGCAGCAATGAAGCAGTGGGGGGCGGTGGTGGACTTGGCCAGGTTGGCTTCCTCTCAGTCACATCGTTAGGAAATAACACCACAAACCCAAGCACCAGATACAGTGAGTCACACAGGACATCTTTGTTTCAGTGGGAGAGGTGGCCATGGGGAAGTGAGAGAAAGCAAGGCAGAGGAAGATGGCCATGGGAAGGGAGAGAAAACAGAAGAGAGAGAGAGGGAGAGAGGTTTCTTGCTATAGTAACAAGGGGGGCTCCAAGAGAGAAAGAGAGAGAGAGAGCAGAACAGAGAGTGGGGAGAAGTGAGGACTGGGAGAGCAGAGAGGGAGACAGAGACAGACAGAGAAAGAAAGAAAGGGAGTGTTTTTCAGCATGGGGCAGGTACTGGGAATACAGGGTTGTGGAGATTGGTAGGCGGGGTCCAGGGATGCAGGCTGCAAGGGATTGGTGAATAGGGCTGTCAGGGAACAAAATAAGGTGTGGAGCTAAAGAGTCAGAAACCGAAACTGCATGTCTAAAATGGTGGTGGCGGGGCGGGGGGTGGGGGGGAGGTCTCACAATCTTCAGAGCGGATGTTGAGCCACTCCTCACACACATGATAGATGTGTAGGTCCTAAGAGTCAGTGCAGACATGCACAGGTATTCATGCCTGCCAAAGACAGGGAGAACTCAGGTTCAGAAAGGGAGTCACAATGGAGCGGGAACTGGGTCCACCATGGCAGGTGCTGCCCCTGGGTCCACCGTGGCAGGGAGGGTGGTTGTAAGGAAGGATAGAGAGGTGGTTCCAAGTCCACAAAGGGGAGCACTCCTGCATCCAAGGGAGTGCCAACCACCTGTCCCAGATGTGCAGGGCACTGCCTGGGCTAAGGTGATGGGAAAGCGTTCATGAGACTACAGTCTTTTGCTAGGGTGATGGAATGTCTTGGTGGATCTATGAATGGGGGTGAGGGGACCATTGTCCCCCTGGAGCAGTATGGGTTCCTATAGTGTCTCCTTTCTGAAGACAGCATCACAACACTGCAGCCTATACTGTAGGGTTGAGGGGAAGCAGTGGTGGGGTTCCTTCTGTAAAGTAAAGCCACGTGGGTAACTCCAGGTGGCTCCCTTCACTGGGCTCCAAGTGTGTGGTCTCTCCAGAGGCTAAGATGGAGAATGGGGTCTGTTGGAGCTCTCCCATGGCCCCTGGCTCCGTATATGTGGGATCCCCCTGACCTTGGGCTGGGGTTCTGTTTGTTGGTGTGTTTCCTGCGCCCCCTCCACTATGCTGTCACCCCAGGGTTCTGCTGTGTCCTGCAGGGTTCCTGCACTTCCCTTGCTGAGTTCCCTTGTGAACGCTCCCCTTGTAACAAACTGTCCTGTTATTTGGGCTATTTTCTGTGGAAGAGGAGACAATGGCCTCCTCACTTAGCCACCTGGAGGAGATCTGTTTCAGCGTGGGATTTTTTTGTTTTTGTTTTATACTTTTTATCTCTGGAGCTTCTTTTTGTTTCTTCCTTTCTCTGCTTCAATAGTCCATCTGGTTTTTCTTGCTAACTATTTCATCCACTGAGGTGCTTAGCATCAATATCCTAGGGGTGTCTGGTAATTCCAGCATCCCTATGGTGTTCGGTCCAAAATGCATTTTGTTTCCTTTTAGTATGTTCTTGGTTTTTCCTTAAGGGCAAGCCTTGATGCACCAGGCAACAGGAAGTGCCCCACGTGAGCCTTCAGGAAGGTAGAGAGTAGCTATGACAGTCGCTCGCTTTTTTCCACGATAATTTATAATAATGTTTTCTAGGTAAAAAGTAAGAATATCAAAGCAGAGGTAAGTTCAGATAGAACTTTATTAATAAGCTGTCTTTGCCAAAACAGGGCTCAAAAATGGTTTCATGAGAATTTGTTCCTTTTATTGATGTGATAATGTTGCATAGAAATTATAAACTTGTACCGACCATATTGTCCATTAATAAATGCAAATGTAAATGAGAACAAGCTCCTTCTAAACCATTAGGAATATTGAACCAAACATTACTTATTATTCTCATAAGATACGTATTTGGAGACAAATCATAAGACTTCAGCTTTTTTGTTTTGTTTTGTTTTACTTTCTGCTAAAAACAATGCAGTGTCATTTCTGTTGTCCTTATTGGTGTGGCTCGTCTCTCTCTTCCCAGCACATATTTCTACACTACAGGTGGTGAGCCAGTGATAAGCCCCTCTTATGGACGCGATTCCACTTCAGGACAGTGAAACGGGGCATGGTAATTAGGTGTGGAATTATCCAAGGTTATCTCGAAGGTTTCTTCAGAGCCTTCTTAAAACAACCCTGGAGAACATGTTTCCTGTTCTGCATATACTCCCGATCCAGGTGCTCCATTCTCTGCGGCAACTGGCAACTTCCCGGGCGCCTGACGAGCGGTGGGGGCGGGACTCCTCCCAGAGGCGCCTGCTGCAGCTGACTCAGTACATCGGCCGCTGCGAACAGGACTGCGACAAATGTGGGAACACAGGCACCCCTCTCATCTGCTGGCTTCAGTTCTGCTGGGTATGTTCCCAGCAGGGGAACAGAAGGGTAATATGGTGGAGATCTATTTTTAGATTTTAGAGAAATATCCATACTGTTTTCCATAATGCCTGCATTCACTTATATTCCAACGGATGCTGTGTTAGCATTCGGTATGTGCGCACATATATGTAAAACGCTTACAGGTGCAGCAAACATGAGGAAAATATTAAAAATTGTTCAATCTGAACCAAAGAAGGATCCACGACAAATCAGAAACTCAGAGCGAACTAGGAGGGCTTGGCAATCCAGGCTGCAGCTCAGATCATGACTATCAACTTCAAAAGGAGACAACGGGTGCGAAACAATGCCTTCCATTTATTCTTTAACCTGCTGGACTGAGATGTAGCACAGAGGATCTGAGGCGCAGAACAGAGGCTGATGGACGACATGAGTTGCTTGCCTCAAGTGACACAAACAGAAACAGGTGCCGTTGGTGCTGGATCCAGGTCCCCTGGTTCCCATCTGCAGTTTTTCCTTAGTGGCTTGAATGTGAGGGAGAGCAGTGAGGCAGTCTTGAAGACCAGCCCGAGCTCGACAGGCTCAGGCCACACTGGTCTCTCTGCAGCATGAAGAAAATGATCCTATTGCTATAAAAGTAGAATCCCTGTGTCATCCTAGACAGTCTTCCCTTGCTTGATGGAACACACCTGGTATGCAAATAACCAAATAACTGCCATATTTGTAAACAGAAGAAAGAGAACAGACGGGGGCTGAACAATTGGCTGCATATTAAAACAGTTCATATGGTAAGTTCATTATGCAGTCTTCAGAAACACATAACATTAAATTATCAACACAGAATGAAATCTATAACATAATTTTCTTGCTTAAACATCTAAGAAATGATATTTTTCTTTTTTCACTCTAAGAAAATGGAATTTTCCCTTGGGAAGCCAACATCTCGCAAGTTTACTTCCTTTTGCGTGCTGTGATGACTAGAAGGCTTTCACGGCGGGTATGACCTTGCGGAAGAATTTGTGACCCTGGGAATTGGTGTTTTCAAACACATAGCCTGGAGGAGAGGGGTAGGCAGCTGGGCAGACTTCTTGTTTCTTGGGCGAGTACTCTACGGAGTACGTGGTGACGTTCTCAAAGGGAGCGGCACTCTTCAGGGCCACGTTCAAGGGTCTGCAGCTCTCTGTCGGAATCAGTTCATGCGGCACGTAGTGAGATCGGAAAGTGCTCAAACCATCAAATTTTCCGGTTGGGTTGGGGATCTGCTGCTGCTGTTTAATGAGTCCTTGACGGCAACTTTCCCAGGCTGGAAAATCTTCCTGCGTGGTGCTTTTCCCTTGGAAAGGAGAAGAGCTATTTCTTGTATGGGAAATCGGCCGGATGGGGACCACACGGCTGGCCTGATAGGGCACGTAGTCGAGGTGGCTGGTGCTGTGTAGCTGCATGACTCCTGCAGGAGGCGAGTACTCGGCCACTTTCTTCACTTTGGGGGGCGGGATTTCCCATGGCTGGAATCTGTCCCGGGACTCGGTGCTGTTTTCAAATTGCGCCTTTTGGGTCACTCTGGTGTCTGCAGGCTTGCAGATTTTAGCCATCTCACCAGCAAGGCCCTGGAAGTCACACCGATGGGTCGTGAGGTCCTCAAAGGGCTGGTCGCTTGGCATGTAAACTTCTTTAGGCTTTGCCAACTTGAATTCCAGCGGACGGGGTACGTAATCCAGGCGGTGACTGGTGTCGCCATTGAAAGGAGCCACCGATCTTCTCACCACCGGGGAGGGTTTAAAACTTTGCCTCGGTCTCATCTCCTGGGGAACGTAATCATCCTGAAATGTGGTTGCGTTTCCAAATTTCACAGTAGGGGGATGATACGCTTCTTCTGGTTTACAGAGTTCACTTTTCTGAATATCCCAGGCTCTATAATCATCTTGAAAAATTAAACAAATAGTTTTAAAATGACAGAGAAAACCACCAGCTTCTAAGATCAGGACTTCCCTCACTGCCAGACGCCCTTGGGTCTCCTTGGGAAGCTCAAGACCAGGACCAAGTGTGAAGTTCCTGCGATTCCCTTCAGCTTTGTTCTTTCTGCTGTACTTCTACTTTCCCATCCCCAGCTTTCCATTTTAATACACGAAACCTTCCATGACTCTTGACAGAGAGAAGAGGGCTACATGTGCTGTCTCAGAAAGTGGCCTGGCTTCAACCTGAAAGTTGTGTAGATTTACAAGTTTAGGAATTCCATGGGAAATACACATTACGGGGAAAAAAAAAATGAAGCCTGGGTTTCAAAATTTTTGCACCAAAATAAACTTCTCTTTTCCTTCTGCTGCCCTTTAGCCTGCTTCGTGAAGCTTGCCTAGAACAGAGACGGAGAGTGTCTACATTTCCATTTAAGGTCACAGAGGTGTTCCATTGCTAGATGAGATAAACAGTGACTAGGGAAATACCGTGGAACTGGCTTCACTCAGAAGTATGTATTCTTAAGTATGAAAATTAAGTTATAAAAGATTGAGGGGTTTTTTTTTGTTTTTTGTTTTTTGTTTTTTTTTACACTAGGCACTGCATGAAAATCTGGACTATACAGCCCGTGCAATGTGCACAGGAAAAGGTCAAACTTCAAATGCTTATGATGGGAATGCCTTTATGTGGATACTTCCTTCAAAGAGAGAAGTTCCTCATCCATAGATATTTCTGACCAAATGGCCGAGTTTTGGACTCGGCTCATTGGTGTCTGGATAAGAGCAGTGACCTGGCCCAAGAGCAGACATTCATGATGCTGGCAGGGACTTCCTGGCGAGGAAAGAGGAATTAGATCAAGCAGTCTAATCTTTGCACACCTCAAGTTGATCACAAATACTCCGGACGAAGAGATGAACCTGAAAGACTGTATGAAGTAGAGTTGGAGGGCCACAGTCCGCTGAAATGCTCTTCAAAACAGACTTGTAGAAGAAACAGAAAAGATGAACAGGCAGGGGGAGCCGCTGGCTAGCACAGTGGTCCCGGGGCAGATTTGTAAAGAAGAGTGAAGACGCGGTGTGAGAGACCGCACCGTTGACCGCATTGCTGGATGGGGCGCCGATCTCCCGCTCCCTTTTCTCCCACTTCCTGCAGCTTCACCAGGGTCTCTTCTTCATCGGGTGTCCCAAAAAGCACTGGCCGTTCCTCGCAAATCAAGCACAGAACTCCCAAACGAAAGTCACAGGTGTCAAGGGAGGCCCACAGTTCCACACAATCACACAGGTGCAGCCCTTGCCGCCAGAGAGACCGAAAGAAGGAAGATGTAAGGGAGGACACGGGCCTGGATGTTTCTCCTCCACCAACGCCAGCCTCGGCTTTCAGAAAAGGGAACAGGAGTTTGGAGACTAAATCAAACAAGAAAAGATTTCGGAGACTAAGAGGGTGGACAGTGTACATTAGGATGAATGTCACTGCTAGATGGGGGTAGAAGGCTGACTTTCTCCTTGTGACAATGCCCAAACACAGATGCTCCGATCGCCGTGTTCTAGAACTGTCATGACTACCATTCCATGTATACATCGACAACGTCCCAGTCTTCTCTTGGCTCTCGAGCCTGGCCACTAACTCGGAGAGAGGAAGTCTGCTGTCTCCTGAGCCGCTCTGTCCCGTGGGGTGGCTGCAGGCTGTCTCCCCGTTTGCACCCATAGCCCGGTTTCCCTCACCGCAATGCAGGGGGCTGTGTAGCTTCTTCTCTGAGGACAGAAGTTGCCTGCGCTCCCTGCGGTGTGGAGGTGTGGAGGATTTGGAAGCAGGTTTTAAAAACAGCCAGGGGGAAATTACTGCCATCTATACACCACTAACCTACTCCTGCACACTGAGAACTAGCTGATGACTCCCGAACGGGAATCTCCCCTGCAGCCCTTCCTCCGAACACCAAACACTTGCATGCGGCCTCCTACAAGACATCTGTGTTTGGCAGTGCCCTGGATGAACCAAGACTCAGTACACCTCAACCACAGTCACTGTCACAGCTTGTAGCGCTCCGCCTTGCTTTCTGCATTTATTTTTCTTTCTCATTGACTAACCCTGGGTTAGTCCATTTATTTGTTTGTTTTTAAAGATTTTATTGATTTGTACTGAAAATGTAGGTATACAGAGAGGAGGGACAAGGAGGAAGATCTTCCATCTGTTGATTCACTCCCCAAGTGAGCGCAATGGCCAGGACTGAGCTGTCTCCAGGATCCAACACACAACACAAACATTCTGGACTTTTCTTTATGGTTAAGAATTCCAAATTACACTGACAACTTTGCAAATCCAATTTCTTGAGCAGATATAGAACTATTTTGGCTTTTACTTTCTTCTTTAGTTTTATAAATTTTGTTTTGCCAAAAGAAATTACTCATTTTTCTACGTTATAAATTACCAGCAAAAGCTTTTTAGAATATTTTCAGTATAGAAAAGATTACTCTTTGAGTTTTAATGGATTATTCACTTACATTTAATGTAATGAAAGAGTTAGCCTAAGTTGTCTATGCTGCTATTTCTTTTTTATTTTTCTCATATTTATCCCATACCCTTATTTCCTTTTAGAATAATATTCCATTATTACCCTATTGGCATTTCAACTATAATTTTAGGTCTAAAATAGAATATAAGTTGTGTGAGTTCTTTATGCATTTTGGATATTAATCTTGTGGTTGATGCATGGTTTTCAATATTTTTTCCTAATCTGTTCTCTTCCATTTTGACATTTCCTTGTTGTACAGGAAGCTTTTTAGCTTGATGTAACCCCAACTGTTCATTTTTCTTTTTGTTGCCTGTGCTTGTGGTAAAATTTGGGGAAAAAAAAAACAAGTTATTGCAAAATTCAAGGGATATTCCCGTATTTTCTTCAAGGGTTTTTTTGTTTGTTTGGTTGGTTGGTTTTAGGGTTTATATCTCAGTCTCTAATGCATTTTGAGTTGATTTGGGTATATGATACATGAGGGTCAAGTTTTATTCAGCCTTCACAACCCCATTTATTCAACTTCTCTATTGTGTATTTTTTGGTAACTTGGTTAAAAAATGAATTGACTGTAGGCTTGTGTGTACTTCAGGGCACTCCGCTTTGCTCTGCTGGTCCTTACGTGAGTTCATATTCCAGTTGTACCGTACTATTCTGATTACTCTAGCGTTGTAAGGTAATTTGAAATGAGGAAGTATGATGTCTCCAGTTTCGTCCCCTATGGGTTTTAGGGTTGTTCTTGCTGCTGGAATCTTCACAGGAGCTGCTGAGCTTGGGATGGCTTTCAGAGCCACGTTCATTCCAACAGTGTTAATTCTTTCAACCAATGAGCACAAGATGGTTTTCCAGATGTTTATTTCCTCTTCTGTTACTTTCACTATTTCATGGTTTTCAACGTGTGGATCTTTTATCTCTGTGGTTACAAATTACAAAGCTTCTAAACCATGCTGCGAGCCAGACTTCTGTAGTCCTTAGCATGGCTGGTACGGAGCAGGTTAGCCCCTAAGACGTATTACTTCAATTGAATACCAAGCTATTGGATCATGTATGTTTTAACATGCGTGCATTTTTGAGCTGCAGCTACTAAGGCCATTTCTGTTGAATTGTATCTGCCTTTTATTGCACAGAACCACACCTCACATCTGCAGAATCCAAATGCTGCCTTGCTGACTAGATTGTAGGATGTTTTTCATAATCATATTCCATTTTTGCTTTTCCTTTGTCCACTGACTTTTAGACAATAGTAAAATAAAAAGCATCTCCCTGTTGAGAGTTCAGATAATACAACTGCCCTTAAGTAGGTACCTGCAGTACAGTCACACGCAAGAATGAAATCATAGTTCTACTGGCACATACCTACAAAGCTGGAAATCCCAATGTTAGCCTGTCTTCACCAGGACATTTTAGGAGTGTGACCGCTAGAGGGCGCCCAGAATTCCTCAGCCATGAATGATGGGAATCCATAGGAATAACGTGCACAGGTGTGCCGTGTGTGAATACATCCATGGTCAGTTTAATATTGATTCTTGTTAAGGGGAAAACAGGGAAAATCTTACTATGGTATACAAGTGACGTAATTTAAATGAATTAGCATCAGTCATTCTCATTATCTTTTATGGCAAACTTCATAGTAAACTGACTTTTATGCATTTCAAGATCTTAGCAATTCCTACACAGTATATTTGGTGATGTTCACTATGTGTGTAGTCTTATAATTGCAGCATAAGGAAAAAGCACCGTTCCTGACCTCTTCAATACGTGAGCTTATAGATTGCAGTATGCGGATAGCACACACTCTGCCCACTGACTAACAATAGTGAAATTTAAGGGGAAAAATAGGTGTTCATCTAATACCTAATTAAAATTTGAATCTTACTCTGTAGATGCTGTCACTCTCACACATCCATCCAGGCACCTCACACAAACTAATGCAAAGCTCATAGCCTATAAATGCAATTATAGTGGTGGGAAAAGAAAATGTGGAGATAATATTGGAGATCAAAACAGTTAAGAAAAAAAAAAAATTAAGATCCTCTCCCCCAAAAGTAATAGAGTATTTTAAAATCAGGTAGGATTTTAGAAGCTCTTCTTTTGGAAAGAAAATTCCACTACGCATTGCCCAAAAAACTCTTCCTCCAAGTCAGTCGCTGGCAGGGCAGAGGTATTCTGATGGTTCGTCTTACGCTGGAAGTCTCAGAGGGGCAGGCCCCTACGCGGCCACCCAGTGCCTCTGCCAAAGGGCGGAGAAGCCCATCCCGTCCTCAGCCTCCCCCATCCTCAGCCTCCGCATCAGAAGCCACCCACCGACAGAGGGGCACGTGATGCTCCACTCTGGCCTCGCTCGTTATAAAAGCCATCATTTGGCTCTCCATCTGCCAACGCTCTTGCTGTATAGCCTGGTTCAGAACTTTGACTTTCTCAAAGAGCCCGGGACTTCCAGTAGAGTTCCACCTCATTCTAGGATGGGAAGAAAGGAAAATGCTAACCCAAAGTAACAGATACGACACTAACGCTTGGTTTTGCTGTTGTTGTTATTCTTTTGAAATATACGTGTGTTTTGAGATCTAGAAAACTAAGTGGCTGAATTTAGAAAGGAATCAGGGTTTCTTAACTCCCTATGAAGCAAATGAAAATTGTTCCCCTACCTGCCCGCCCCAGTGCTCCTGATTGTAAAATGTTCTTTTGACCAGAGACAAATGTTCTTTCCTCTGCCGTCAGAGCTAACTCCGGCAAGGCACTAAAACTTTCATTTGGTATTGGATGTCAAAGCTGGAAGTAAAGTGTGCTCTTTGGCTCCTTTGCTTTTGAAATGGCAAGTTACCTTTATAGGTTGGGAGCGTGTCCAGCTTTCCTTTTCTCACTTGTTTTCTCTCCTGAGGCTGGACGATTGCCACAGGCTGCACTTTATAAGAATTAAAATCCCGCTTATAGGTGGTACCAAGATCGATCTTTCCTGGCTTGGGTTTATATTCTTCTGGCACGTGGCGAGGCTGTATGACTACTTCATAAGGACGATAATCCGATCTGAAATACAGAAATTTGAAACATAAGCCTCACAGGTTCTTTTATTCCTAACTCTTTTAATGCAATACTGAAAACTTCCAGACTCTCTCTTTTTTTTTTTTTTCTTATTTGGAAAGCCATTAGATATTAAAATGGTGATAGTTAAAAAGTTAATTCTAAAAGACAAGTAGGGGGCAGCACCATGATGCCTCCTGGAAGGGTGCCAGATCATGACCTGGATGCTCCACTTCCTGTGCATTTAGAAGCTGGGAAAGCAGTGGAACATGGCCCAAGTCCCTGGGCCCCTGCACCTGTGTGCGAAACCTGCAAGAAGCTCCAGGCCCCTGGCTTTGGATCAGCTCAACTCCTGATACGGTGGCCATTAGGGGAGTGAACCATTGGATGGAAGATTTCTCTGTCTCACCTTCTCTACATAAATCTGCCTTTCAAATAAAATTAAATAAGTGGATATTGAAAAAACAAAAAACAAAAAACTCCTCAAGTGAATTACCTCCGAAAGGTCCTATCCAGTAAATACATAGCTTGAGAAAAGTAAATAAAAATCTAGTCTTTAAAAAACATCACTACAATAGATTTTCTATTATTTTGATGTTGAATAAATAAAATCTTCAAGTAATTGAATTTGTGTAACCTGGAAGGCAATCTTTGATGACAGTCTTGATGAAATTGTAAATTTTCAGAGCTCTAGTCACCTCCCTGGTTTTATTTGGTGAAAATTCCTCTGAATCCTACCTGAGGAGTATAGTAAATTATCTGGCCTATTGTATTCTCATTGAACAATGCCACCTTCCTGTTTATTGTCACAAGATCAGTCACCCCACTTTTAAGTCATAAATCACATTCGTGTTATGGACGTTGGCTCTGATGCATCTCTGGATCTCATAGAAGGCTTTGCCATGGATGGGAGCCAGAGGATAAATCAGCCACCCTGGGCATCATGGAACCTTCTGAGACAGAGAGGGGCAATGCCAACATGGTCTGCTGGAATGGCAGAGACTCTAGCCCCAGACCAATGAGGCTGCCTGGTTCCGGAGCCTGGCTCTGGCATTCGATAGCTGCATGACTTTGGACAACTTAGCTATTCCATTTCAGTTTCCATATGTACGAGACATCATCTGTTATTTTACAGATACATTCATCAGAGTATATGCTTGGAAGAGTACTTGGTGTATGGTAAGAGTATTATGACACTGCTAGTGTTATTACTGGAAATTTCCACAGGTCACTTTTTCTTCTGGACCCTATTGGCTGTATCACTTATTTATGATTAAGTCCTAATAAGTCAGAATTGAAAACTCCAGTCATAAAATAAAAACTCACCCAATTGCTTCTATTCACAACCTACCTTCTTGGATTGGTTGATTTTATGTTTTTACCTGCTTCAACCAACCTTTACAACCTGTGTCAGGTTGGGTTGACACAGCCGTCAGGTGCACAGGGGCGTCTGTGGGATGCCACCCACCCTCGTCTGACTCGGCCTCTCCAGCAGTCACAGACAGGACCCCCGCTTCTTTTCCAGCAGATTCTCTCTCCCTGCCTTCTTCACTGTCTCTCCTTACCTTCCAATGCATGCTCCCATCCTTGTCCAATGTTTGCTCTTGGAACTCTGTTCTCACACTTCACTTCCATTCTGCCTTCCTGGGAGTGACTCTCGCATCTCAGAACCTCGGCCCTCTTCTCTAGGCTCCATACTGGAGTCTATAAAGGGCTCTTGAATATTCATCAGCACCTCCAAACTCAAAATGCCGTGGATCACATGAGTGAGCCGCTCCATCAACAGTCTGGCCCTTTTTGCAGATCCATATTTTAGCAGAGCACCCCCTCATGGCTAGTCTATGTTACAACCTGTATCAGCTTTGCCTTTCAGCGGCTCTCAGACCCAACCGTTTTCCTCATCATCATACCCAAAGCTTTCGTAACAGCTCACTCGAATTGCTTCAGTTCATGTTCCTAAACCCGCATTTTTTAAGTAAGCAGGCAGCAGGAATAGATTTGCATCCTAAAAAGACCATCTTGGCAGACTAAATTATTGAGAACAGAGCAGAGAAGCAAGAGCTACTGCAGTAAAGACACAGCAACCAGGACGCCCCTGCATCCCTCCAGTGCGTGATGGTGGAAGGCCGATTGAGTCGGAGGTATTTTTAGGAGGCTAAAAAAAAAAAATAGAACTTTTCCCCACTTTTTTTTGTCACTCTTCTTCAACTGAATTCAATTCTCATCTTTCCTTTTTTGTTTTTTTTGTTTTGTTTTGTTTTCCCCAAGTTGTGACTTAACTACTTCCTTGCTTCTTGAGGGTGGATTCAACTTCAATCAAGCAACTTGTTTCAACTGAAACACTAGCAAACTTTTAGACCGGAAGAGTTGGGAGGAAGAGACGCAAAACAAATAACTGTTCAATATTTACTTAAACGTAGTTATTCCGTCCATTTTCTCACGGCATGCTCGGAATTCCTGCTTGGGTTTAAGACTCTGACATGGAGGGACACTGCCATGCACAGGGTAGTTCTCCAAATATTCAGTTGTGGGGCAGAATACGCCAGAGTTTTCATAAATCCGCGTGGTTCCGTGTGGGCAATGGTGCCGCCTGTGCAAACAAAGAAATTGAAAGATTACTTAGCCTTCAAAAATAGTCTGTAGTCACTGCATTTTAATCAAAGCCTTCTAATACATTCAGAATCTGTTTAGTTTTTAATTTTTTTTTTGTTTCATTTTTGAAAGGTAAAGAGGAAGATACAGAGAGAGATTGGGCCGCTTTCCTCTGTGTGTGGCAGGGACTCAACTACTTGGGCCGTCACCTGCTGCCTCGCAACGGGAGAATGAACAAGAAGTTGGTATCAGGAGGGGGTGCTGAAACCAGAGCCAGGCGTCCCAACACTGGCCATGCGCTCCCCAGGTGGCATATGAACAAGCCGGGCAGTTTCTTCTGCAGCAGTATTTTCAGAAACAACAATTACAGTGAACCCTTCGGTGGTGGAAGCTCTGGTTCCCCTCTCATCTGACTGTCCTGTTGGAGCACAGGGGCTCAAGAGCTACCAGGTGAAGCTCCCAGACCCCTTGCAGACAGCATCCATGTGCGATTTAGACTTTGCCTGTTGGATGGTCACAGGAGACAGAGAGGCAATGTGCAGTGGCCGTCCTGTGTGCGTAGACTGTGGCTGAAGCACAGGCGTCTGGAGGCAGCGGCTGCTGGGCCTATTTGCGAGGTGGTCTGGCAGCCTCCTGACCTTGGCAGGAGTTGAGTGAGTTCTGGAACTTAACGACTGTGTTGCAGTTTTCTGATTGTGGCCGAGATAGGGGCTCCCTTGGCAGCCCAGCTCTGTGGCGAGATTTCTGGGATTATTTCCTGGAAGCTTATTTTGAAAATGGCTTTTGCTTCTGTTCCAACTGAACTATATATATGCCTTAATAAATTCCATTGTGCCTAAACTAACAGGAACGGGTGGCTATCTGTGTTGCCGGTAACTAAAATCCCCAAACAAACTGAGAAGTTGCTGTTGCTCAGAATGATGTGGCTGCTGGAAGACTGACAATTGTGAAATGATGGGTGGCAGAATGGCACACCCGGGTAAAGCAAATCCCGGAAGCGAGGTACAGGCTCTGGAGGTCAATCAGAACCATGAATTGTACCTGGACCAAGTGACTCCACAGGAAGACCAGAGGTCAGGTTTTTGGAGGTTGATGGGCTAGCATGAACAACTAGTACAAGAAACTGTGAAGAGGGAGTGTCCTAGGCCACTCTAGTAAACCTGCGGGGTACACGGCGCTTCTTAAAGAGCTGCACTGAGTGACAGAATTCAAAACTCCCACAGTTGTCATTGCTTTTACTCTCCAGCAGCACAGAGTTAACACACCCCACAGCGGCGGAGCTATTGTAAAAAGAAAGTAGACATCTCCTGTCTCCCCCTTTCCAATTCCCCACAGCAGCATCTTCTTTCTTCTTATCTTTGCCGGGAGCCACATCTGTGAAGTTCTTTTATGAGCATCTTGCTCGGCGTCCTTTAACTCTCAAAGCAGACAATGTCTCACTTCGACCTCTTGGGGTTGTCTGGTAGTTCACTCCTTCAGCAGGTGCGAAGTGAGGGAGCAGGCTGTGCAAGGACTCCAGAGACAGAGCGTTAACGAAGATAAGGCACAAACTTGCCTGTTGTCCTGGAGCATTCCTGCGGCGGGTCAGGTGGGGGCTGCTGGGAAGCCAGTGACAAGTGTATCAGAAACACACACTGTGACATAAGCACACACACACACACACACACACACACACACACACGAAGCCAGGAATAGAGACAGTGTATGAGGTGGGCAGGAAGGCTGCGATCTGGGGTAGTGTGCCATTCAAGTAAAGATCTGGCTGGAAAGATCTCTCTCCTTATTGTAAATTGGTTGTATATGTATCTTTAAGTATCTTTAAGTGAAACTATGAAAAGGTTTTTTTTTTGTTTTTTTGTTTTTTTTAGTTCACCAAGTTTAAACAGTCTTTCTGCACATCTGGCTTTGCACGATGAGGTTATTAACTCCCAGCCACTTTTCCCTTGACTTGCCTACTTTGTAATCTGATGGAGGAAATTCACTTCTTCAAGATTTGCCACTTCCTTTTCACATTCCACTGTTTGTTCACGTTTTGTTCTTCAACACAACTAAACCATCATCCCACCCCCCACTGTCACCTGATTTTGGAAAAATGGAAAATCCAGGATACCGTATCTTCGGACTACAGTGGCTATTGAGGCACCACTGGACAGAGCGGCCCCAGTGTGTACTGCAGAACCTTTCCTCGCTTTTTTTTTTTTTTAATTGGAAAGTCAGATATACAGAGGGGAGGAGAGACAGAGAGGAAGATCTTCCGTCTGATGATTCACTCCCCAAGTGAGCGCAACAGCTGGAGCTGAGTTGATCCAAAGCCAGGAGGCAGGACTTCCTTCTGATTCTTCTAGGTCTCCCACACAGGTGCAGGGTCCCAAGGCTTTGGGCTGTCCTTGGCTGCTTTCCCAGGCCACAAGCAGGGAGCTGGAGGGAAAGTAGGGTCTCTGGGACACAACCGGTGCCCATATGGGATGCTGGTACATGCAAGGCAAGGACTTTAGCTGCTAGGCTACTGTGCTGGGCTCCTTTTTCTTGCCTTCAATGTCTCTTACCCACCAGTATTCCCTATAACCACCTCTTCTTGTCTAAATCTGTTGAAATCTCATCTGCTTATGAACCTCCTTTACATTTTCTTCCATTAAATGGGATAAATTATTTCTGGGCTTCGGTGGATCCTGGGAAAGGTGTGAATGGGTTGCCTTCACAGACAAGTGCCACCCCGCCACCTTCTTTCCTATTATACATCTTTCTCCCTCCTACCTTCCTCAAAGCTCACCCATCCTTTTTTACCCAAGGGTTTCCGAGCAAAGTGGATTGTTACAAAGCCTTATTGCTACCCCCTCCTCACCCGGGCACTCCCAACTTCTTTTTTTAAATACTCCATTCCAGTTTAATTTGCATGAAAATTTGTATATATAACTTGTAGAGAGGAAAAATGTTAAGAGATGCTTGAAACTATTGAACATGAAATAGAAACTTCACCCAGTGGCCAAGTCTGGTCTAAAGTAACTCATGGAGGCCAAGGCTGTCTGTGGATCCTGCTGGGAAAGGCCCTTTACTGAAATCCCAAGGACTTCCTTCCATCTAACCCCCCTCTTTCAAGCAGGTACTTTTCACTTATTCAAGGCGGCTTGGATGGGGGGAAGGTCTTTGTTTCTGTCTGTGTCTCAGGCGGGGACCAGATCTTAAAGGGACACTCTACTAGCTCCCAACTTTGCCAGTGATGTGGGTACCCAGAGCATAGGCCTGCAGACAGCAAAGGCATCCCTCTGGAAGTTAGTACATGAACTTCAGCAAGGGGCATTTCCGTGGCTGCCGACAGCACAGTGGCAGCATTCCAAGCCCAGCAGCAACGCTTCCTCCAAATGTCCATTTCAACACTGGCTACACATCACGAGCAATGAAGATCTAATTTTTAATTGTACTTCCTTCAGCGCCACGAGGGTCACGCACTAGCTTCTGTTCCTACAAGAAGGTTTTCAATTCCCTTTTTGTGTTTTTATTTCTGTAGCATCTTTGTTAACTTCATGTTGATGAAAATGTATTATTTTCACCCTGTTGTGGGCTGTTTTCGAGGATATATAATGGAAGTTTAGTGGAAACACATATTGAGATATGGAGACAGAGTGCTGTATGTCTCTGTGCATACAGACCAAAGACGGACTCCCAGTGAAAGAACTGAAACTATCCCAACAGTGAGATGATGGACTCTCTGACAATGTCCATGCCTACGTTGTCGGGAAACGCGTCAATAACAGCATGATGGACGTATGACTGTTAATGAAGGAATCCACTGTAAAACTAGAGGGGAAGTCAGTGGGGGGAGGGACCTCGGGGAAGGCACGGGCAACCCCACAGCCTGTGGAACTATATCATAAAACAAAATAAAATATTTTAAGTATAAAAAAAAAAAGGAAAAAGAAAACACCTTAAATCCTTTGATTACTAAACTAATGAAGGAAAGGGGAGTCCTTAGCAGAAGGCTGTTTCCCCACTGCTCCCTGTTATAGGAGCTCAGGCTGGTTACAAGTTAAGAGCAGGTTAACTGATCTCGTACCCCAGGGTTTGCAGATTCACACCCCGCCCACCTCTAGTTACAAAGCAGGTTTGTTAAGACTCTAGCAGAGACACCACTTTCTAGCAGCGCTTTCCTTGAGGGTGATTCCAGACGCGAGGGGCCGTCCAACAGTCCGGGAGAAATGCATCTTTTGAAAAAAAAAATGCATGAACTTCAAAGTTGTTTTTCTTTTTTTTTTTTCATCAAAAACAACTGATATTTTAATTCCACTTTCCATACACCTTTCCAATACACCTTCCTAGGAAGGGCCTGCATGTCCCTGTTTGTTTAGCAAACGCTGAGCACACGCCTAGGTTAGGAGCAGTGAACTGAGGAAGGCATCCGTGTTTACAGGTGGCGTTCCATGGTTGTCAGGGAGCACTCACACGCGGCAGGCTGGGTTTCAAGGCAAATCTTCGCAGGTGTGCAGCCTGGCCGGGTGTAGGAATGCAGTCTGGCTCCCAGGATGGCAAACTGAACTTATTAGCAGTCCAACAGGAATCGCGAACTGAGGGCTGTGCGCCATTCTTGGTAAAGCTTTCCTTTAACTTCTCCCGGTCTGATCAGATCCCACCCCGCTCCAGCTTGAACCCTGGCCACTGACAAACATTATATTCTCTACCTGGCCAACAACAACAACAAAACACTTCCCTGCTGCAGCCAGCAAGTGTGAGGTACGTTCAGGGAAGAAATCTGGGCGCCCTCCTGGTCCTTGCACCTGCGGGGTGGGAAAGGCTATGTCCACTAGGCCCCGGCTCGCCCCCACGCCGGCGGCTCCTTACCCGCAGGTGCAAATCTGACACAGACACCAGCTCCTCATGCTTTCCGCTCGCAAGACCTCTTCCTCCAACTTCCCTTGGCCGGGGCCAGCTTCCGCAACGCCTCAGCCGTAGTCGAGGCAACCGCGGCGTTTCCCTGGTGACGGACGCGGCACGCGCTTCCGGTGGCGTCAGAGGCGCGCGCGCGCGGGTCAGAGGTTGCGCGTCGGCTCGCTCCGCCCCCTCTCCCAGCTCGCGGGTGTTTGGGACTCGGGGAGCCTTCGGGACGCGCGTGTTGGGGTCGGGCTGTGAGAGTCGGGTGCGGCTGGCCCGGGCGGCGGGGACACGGTGAGTACGATCGCCCGCGAGGGGTTGATGTGCTCCTCGGCCCTGCTGGAGACCGTGCTGTGGGTTCCCGGCTCGCGGGTCCTGGAGGGACGGGGCTTCAGGTTGGGGGCGCACCCAGATGGGGAGCGGCTGGGGCTCCCCCAGCTCTTGGACCCCAGCCCGTGGCCCAGGAGTGTACCTGCCTTTGAGGTTCTCCCCCACTTGCTTTTAAATTGGAAAGGAGTGAAAGACCCGCAGTGCACCTGCTGGGCAGATCAGCACGTGCCCCCGAAACTTTATTCAAGTTATCCTGGGTCGGGACCGGTGTCTTCTCGGGTGAGCCTGGAGAAAAGCTTGTGGAGAAGAGGGGCAGAGATGCCAACTTGGCGCACAGACGTCCTGCCCGGAGAAGTTGGCTCCCCTTGTGCGTCCCAGGTCCCCTCCGCACCCTGCATGATTCATCCTGGCCGTCGGACCCGGAAGGTGCACGCTGCATGCTCGCGCTGCCCTTGGGCCGGGCTGGCCGGGTCTCCTCCCTCAGCGTCCCTTGGCTTCTTGCTTTACAGGGTCTGCGGTGCCGCGTGGGCTGTCAGCGTCGCCCCCACCTTTAGCCTCTTCCCGCACTCCTCCAACCCCACCGTGGCCTTCCTAATGCCCTTTTCATGTTTAGTCACAGGCCGGAAGTAACCATGGTGCTCAATAGTTTGGAGAAGATGATCCAACTCCAGAAAAACACCGCCAACATCAGGAACATCTGTGTTTTGGCGCATGTCGACCATGGTAAGAATCCTTTGCCAGCCTGCTTTCAGTAACAAAGGGGATGTGTCACGGCCCGGCTCAGCGAAGCTGGGGGTTAGTTGAGTGTGATGCTTGCCGAGAAGTGAATCCTTAAACTTTGGAAGCTCTTTCTTGCCGCTGTGATGTCAGAGGAGCTTGCGATAAAGCTTTTGAAATGGATGTGATTTTCACCCTTGTAAAATGTCAGTCACATTGCTTAATCCAGAGCTTGAGTGTTTGTTACAATGGGGGTTTGTTTCTGGCTTATTTTTTATTTATTCATTTTTTTTTTTAAAAAAAAGACTTTTATCTATTGGAAAGTTAGACAGTGAGATCTTGCATCTGCTGGTGTACTCCCCAAATGGCCACAACAACCTGGGTAGGTCAGGCCAGAGCCAGGAGTTAGGAGCTTTTTGTCGGTCTCCCACGTGGGTGGGAGCAAAGCTATCCTTTGCTGCTTTTCCCAAGTCATTGATTGGGAGCTGGATTGAAATGGGCCAGAAGAGACACAAGCTGGATCCCATATGGGATGCTGGTGTCGCACTCAGCTGGCAGCTTGACCCGCAGTGCAAGCACACAGGCCCCCACTGTTGTTTTTTTCTTTTCTTTTTTTTTTTCTTAAATCATAATATGATTTTTTTGAGAGAGGCAGAATTTACATCTGCTGACTTATTCCATGATGCCGGCCCAAGGCCAGGGGCAGGTGCTAGGAGCTGGCAGGTCCATCCAGGTCGCCAGGGGCAGGTGCGAGGAGCTGGCAGGTCCATCCAGGTCGCCAGGGGCAGGTGCGAGGAGCTGGCAGGTCCATCCAGGTCGCCAGGGGCAGGTGCTAGGAGCTGGCAGGTCCATTCAGGTCTCTGCTCTGGGTAGCAGGAACCCGGCTGCTGTGTCGTCACTGCCTCATTAGCAGGAAATGACCCAGGAGCTGGAAACAGGCCGTCTACTAGGAGATGCAAGTTTAATCACTGGTCCGTAGGCCTGTCCTTTCAAACAACTTTCAATGACTTGCTTTGTAGTGCATCTGCACACGGCCTTAGAGACTCTGTTAGGGGACCCAGTTGAATGTATCAGATTTCTATTGAAATCGGCCAAGTTCAAGGTATTTTAGCTGCATATGTTAGGAGATAGAAATGTGTGAGTGAAGCAACCACCTAGCTGTTTGGCGGGTTTTAGGGGTAATGTATGACCAAATTAGACATGTGTGAGAAAAACATGATCTTCTCTGTGGGAAGCCAGGGGTGGGTTAAGAAAAGGCTTGATAATGTAATTTTATTTATTGTTATTTTTTTTAAGATTTATTTATTTTATTGAAAAGTCAGATTTACAGAAAGGAGAAACAGGGAAAGACCTTCTGCCTGATGCTTCATTCCCTAAGTGGTCGCAACAACCAGTGCTGAGCTGAGCCGGAGCCAGGAGCTTCCAGGAGCTTCTTCTGGGTCTCCCATGCAGGTGCAGGATCCCAAGGCTTTGGGCCATCCTCGACTGCTTTCCCAGGCCACAAGCAGGGAGCTGGATGGGAAGCAGGGTTGCTGGGATTAGAACCATCACCCATATGGGATCGCGGTGTGTGCAAGGCGAGGACTTTAGCTGCCAGGCTAAGGCACTGGGCCCCGATAACATAATTTTAGAGCTGACCCTTCGAGGGCCTGGGGATGACGGATGTGGACAGATATCTATGTAGGAACATGTGCAGGAGAGGAGAAGGAAATAATTGTGTGTGGGGACCCAAGGCTCTGGGAGGGCAAGGAGGGCCAGTGTTGGAAGTGTGTGCTTGCAAAGGGATTGGAGTGGAAGAGTGACGTAAGACACGGTGTCATCCCGAAGGGGAGCAGGCAGCTGGGGTCCCCGTCCCAGAGCTCTGTGTGCAGGCTGAGCACCAGCCAGGCTCTGGTGTTGGGCTACCTGATTTCCAGCATCTCCTAACCCCGTTTTCAAATTTCCCTTCCTTCCTGAGTGTCCCTGTGCGGCAGCTGTATCCAGCAGGGTGAAGACATTGCACGGGGTAGGGTTGTGTGTGATCATAATGCGAGGTCCTCGGCAGGAAGATGCCTCATCCTGAAAACGATCATTAGTGTCTTTTATTAGGCAATAGGAAGCCATCAGGTGCTAAAAACAAAGCGCAGTGATGTCACATAGTCTATTAGAAAAACGAGGGGCCAACATGAAGGTGCAGCAGTTTAAGCTGCTGCCTGCAGCGCTGGCATCCTGTATGTGCCCTGGTTCCTGCTGTGGCTGCGCCACTTGCCATCCAGCTCCCTTGCCGTTCGCCTGAGGGAGCGGTGGGAGATGGCCCAAGTGTCAGGTCCCTTGCACCTGTGTCGGAGACTCAGGTACAACTCCTGGCTTTGACCTGAGCCAGCCCCAGCCATTGTGGCCATTTGGCGAGTGAACCAGCAGGTGGAAGTTCTCTCTGTATCTCTCTTCCTCCCTCCCTCCTAACCCCCCACCCCCTGCCTTTCAAATACAATTTAAAAAGTTCACAAAGCAAAGGAACTAGACTGATAGAAGTGCTTTGGAAGGGCTGAAAGACAGACAGGAGGCTGGGTGGCTGTGCTGTCACTGCCACAACTGAATGAAGCAAGTGAGGGGACAGAAGGATCTGGGCCACTTTATAGGTGAAGCCAACTGAAGATAAATTTTATATAACAATCCAGTCAGTAACTCTTGTTCTTGTGAGTTTTTATAACTCTATTTGTCACATTTTTAAAGATTTGAAAGGCAGACTTCCAGCTACAGAAAGATCTTCCATCCACTGATTCACTCCCCAAATGGCCACAGTGGCCAAAATGATTCCAGACTGAAGCCAGGATTCTGGAACTCTGTCCGGGGCTCCCTGGTGTGTGTGGGGACCCCAGTACTTGGGCCACCTACGGCTGCTTTCACTGCCTCGTTAGCAGAGAGCTGAATCGGAAGTGGAGTAGCCGGGACTTGAACCAGTGCCCAAAGAGGTGTTGGTGTTACAGGAGGTAGTTTAAGTTACTGCTCCACATAGTCCCTCATATCTGACAGATGTATTTTCTGTTTTGTGAATTAACTCATGGGTAATCAGTAGTGTGCGTACCAGCTTACTTTACCTGCTTTCTTTAGAATTACATTCAACCATTCTAGTCCAGAAAATCTGCGATCCTTTCATTCATTTAACAAATAGTTATTGAGTGTCTCTTACATGCAGACATTGTCGTGGCCTCATGGATTGGCCGTGACAGTTGATACTCTAGAAGGGTATGCGTTTGCTGTGGTTTGAGTGAATCCTTTATGGGGCAGCAGGACCATGGTGCTCTAGAATTGAGTATTCCATAACAGACAATGAGTGTGCCTTGCAGTTCTTTAGTGTTCCTACTGATTGATTGGCCGATAGTGTGAACTATGGCGCAGATTCGGTAGATTTGCTCAGGCTCCCGGGGTGCAGTAGGACTGGCCTCAAAGGGGAAAGCCTTCCTTTTATTACTTCACCCCGGCTGTTCATGACGTTCTAAACCAAGTTACCTGTTTATGTCACTTGAACTTGTGTGTTCTTGGGACCTGGGTGGTGGCATAGTAGGGAAAGCCACTGACTGCAACACTGGCATCCTTTAGGGCTCCCAGTTCATGTCCTGGCTGCTCCACTTTTGATCCAGCTCGTTGCTAATGTCCTGGAATAAAGTGAGAGAGGATCACCCAAGTGCTTGGGCCCCTGCCATCCCTATGGGAGACCTGGGTGCTGCCCCTGGTCATGGCTTGTGCCTGGCCTAGGCCTTGCCTTTGTGGCTATATGGGTTATCAAGCTAGCAGATGAAGATTTTTTTTCCTCTATGTCTCTCCCTCTCTTTCTGTAACTTTTACTTTTTCTTTTCTTTTTTTTTTTTTAAGCTTTATTGATTTTTATTGGAAAGGCAGATTTACAGAGAGGAGGAGAGACAGAGAGGAAGATCTTCATGCGATGGTTCTCTCCCCAAGTGACCACAACATTCACAGCTGAGCTGATTGAAAGCCAAGGAGCCTGGAGCCTCTTCTGGGTCCTCCCACTTGGGTGCAGGGTCCCAAAGTGTTGGGCCATCCTCGACTGCTTTTCCAGGCCACAAGCAAGGAGCTGGATGGGAAGCAGGGTGGCCAGGACATGAACCAGCACCTGTATAGGGTCTTCGTGCATGGAAGTTGAGGACTTTCGCCACTAGGCTACCACATAAGTCAGTAAATAAATGTTTAGAAATCAAGTTGTATAATCTTCAGCGATAGTGTGTTTAATGATGGTAACTGTGAGTGTGTGAGTGTGTCTTTGGACCCTGGCATGGTCGCCTAGTGGCTAAAGTCCTCACCTTGATGCTCCGGGACCCCATATGGGCGCTGGTTCTAATCCCTGCAGCCCCGCTTCCCATCCTGCTCCCTGCTTGTGGCCTGGGAAAGCCTTGGGATCCTGCATCCACGTGGGAACCCGAAAGAAGCTCCTGACTCTGGCTTTGGATCAACTTGGCTCCAGCCATTGTGGCCACTTGGGGAGTGAATCGATGATGGAAGATCTTCCTCTCTCTTTCTGCTCCTCTCTGTATATCTGACTTTGCAGTAAAAATAAGTAGATCTTTTTTAAAAAAGTGTTTCATTTTTAAGTGTATTCCTGGGTTTACAGCTGAGCCCTAGGTTGCAGTGAAAACTGCTGTCTAGCTGACGCCCTCACAAGCTGTGTTCTTTTTTTTTTTTTTTTATTAATTGTCATTAACATTGTATTATGTGATACAGTTTTATAGGCACTGGGGATTCCCCCCACCCCTCCCACACCCCTCCCCCCATAGTGGATTCCTCCACCTTGCTGCATAACCTCAGTTCAAGTTCAGTTGAGATTCCTTCATTGCAAGCACAAGCTGTGTTGTAAACAGTGGGAGATAACAGGTAACTTTTCATTTCTTCGTTCAGTATTTCATCAAGACACATTAGCTGGCCAATGACCACTTAAGGCATGCATGAAGAAATATGGCGAAGATTGTGTTATTTTTTGAAAATTTATTTCTTTGGGGATGGAGCCATGGCTCAACAAACTAACCCTCCACCCTGTGGCACCAGCGTCCCACAAGGATGCCAGTTCACGTTCCGGCTGCTGCACTTCTGATCCAGCTTCCTGCTGATGTGCCTGGAGAAGCAGTGGAGGGTGGCTCAAGGGCTTGGGCCCCTACACCCACATGGCAGACCCGGAAGAGGCTCCTGGCCTAGCTTAGGATGTAGCCATATGGGATGTGAACCAGTGGATGGAAAATCTGCCTTTCAATTAAAAATAAATCTTAAAAAAGTTAATGTCCTTATTTAAAACGCAGAGGAACACTCGCATACCCACACACAGGTATTCTCTCCATTAACCAGTGGATGTAGCATGTGGGGCTGGACCAGACTACCTGCGGCCTGCAACTGTATCTGGTCTCCTATTGGATGGCAGGGCCCCAGCACTTAAGCCTTCTACTGTCTGATAGTAGCAAGCCAAATAGCAGAGTGACTGTCACTCAGATCATGAATTCCGGTATGGACATGGGCGTCCCAAACAGTGTCTTAGCCGCCATGCCAGAGTGCCTCCCTGTATTTTCTTTCGTAAACAAATGATTGCTGTCCCGTTGCCATTCTGAGCTATCAGGAGCTGAAGCTTATAAGCGTATCTGTTCCTATAGGCATGGGATGTTTGCTACAATAATTGTGATACACATCAGATTCTGATAGGACAGATTGTAGGAACTGTGTGAGTTAGTCGTGCAGCGGTCCACACTTTGATTTGCCTTAGCAGTTAATAAGTGTGTGCTTTGTACACTGCATAAAGTTTGCCTCAAGTTCAAGTGCATGCTGTGGTTCAGCACAGTTGCACGGTAGGTTCCCTGTGAGGTTGCTGAGACCCACAGGGTCAGAGATCATCACAGATGACCTGGGCCTTCAGTACAACAACTTTGAAATCCTCCTCTTTCCTTCCCTTGCCCAGTACTGGTACAAATGAAGTCTCTGCTAAACCAACTCTTAGGACCAGATATTAAATCTCTAGGTGCAATCCATTCTTCTTCGTCTTTAAAGAAAAATTAAACATGTAAGCTAATGTGGTTATTTTAACAGGAAAAACTACGCTGGCCGACTGCCTCATATCTAGCAACGGAATCATCTCCAGCCGCCTGGCAGGAAAGGTATGTTTTCCTGTTTTGTGAAATGCTGTACTTCAGTAAATAGTATCTGTCTCTGAAGTGTCTGTATAGTTGCCGTGTTGTTTAGAGACGCCCAAAAGTGTAAAGCATAGTTCCTGCATTTATGAAGCTACCTGGCTATTTAATGAGATAGAAAAGATGTGGAGAAGGAGTTCTGTGCAGCTTTGCATTGCTTTATAAATGCAAAAGTGAGTTTTTGCAACAAGCCGGATGATACGTGATTATTTACGGTTTCACTGCAAAAGGACTCATTCAGAGGTGGCCGAGGTGGGTGATTTGAAGAGGAGGAAGAGAGACGGTCAGGTGTGGAAAGTCCCTTGGATAAAGGCTGAGTGTTGTGCTGTTTGGGGTGGGGTGTGTCCGCAGAGTTGAGCTGGAGAAAAAACACTGGTAGAGCCAGTTTCCGGTTATGGAAGACCTGAAAGGTAACCAGGTACACACACACACACACACACACACACAACTACTTAAGCTTGAGGGTCATGATGAAACGGTGCTTACAGGAGCGAGGTCTGGGATCTGTGTTGAAAGGGCTTGTAATAATTTATTTAGTGGTAGGAAAGCAGAAAGGTGTTCCTCTCCCTGATCTAGGCTGTTATCAGGAGTGAGCAGGTGCCTGGGAGGGGCCGTGGAGAGAAGCAGAGACGGTTAGCCAAACTGAACCAGCAGGGCAGACCCAGTGGGGCCTTGGAGGTGGGCTTGGTGAGTGAGCTGCCTCCACAAGCCAACTGCGAGAACCTGCGAAGATCAGTATAGTGAAATAGTGAAGTGCGTGTATCTTCCACATGTGAGGCAAACAGAAATTTGCTAAGTATAAGAATATTAAACCAGAAGAAAGTAGGAAAACAAATGAATCAAGAACGAAGCAGACATTTTATGGAAAGGATCCGTAAAAAGTTTGTTCTTGGAAAAGGTTAACGTAGCTAACAAATGCAGTGAGTAACGGTGGGCACATGCTGTGCCACTCGGGTCCAGAGTGAACCCTGATAGAATTACAGGTTCAGTTAATTGTAACCTATCCGAGTAATAGCGGGTACATGCTGGATTACTCAAGTCCAAAGTTAGCCCTGATGTAATTACGGATTCAGTTAATTGTGATCCATCCGTGTTGGTTCATCAGTTATGACAATATTACATATCACATGCTATTAGAATTTTAGACTAGGGGGAATGTATATGAGACGTGTATACTTTGCAGTCCTATATATTTCAATTGCCTTGAAAATACAAAGCTTGCTAACTTAAAAACAATTACTAATAATATAGGTAATTCTTCATTTCTTGACATTTTTTATTTTGGTTTTCATTACTGAGCCACATTCCGTACTTGTTACTGGCTATTGTCCTTCATATGACTCACCGGGAGAATGAATGAGTGTGGTCTGTTCGTATGGATGAATGATCTGAAAAGGCCTAGCGTGTCTACAAAGGATGAGCACGATGGATGCAGCAGACAAGAGAAGGCACAGGAGCGACACTGGGAAAGAACAGGGCTGCCGAAGCAGACAGGGCAATGACAGGATGCAACTAATGTTATGACCGTGAAAAGTGGAGGATTGGAAAAATGGGTGAAAAATGCACCTGTCCTACACTGATACATCATTCTCGAGGTTTTTGAATGAGAGAAAGGAGTAAATGGGAAGAAATTTTGAACGCTGATTTCCTGTATTACAGTTCTGCGGGTTTAGGGTTTCCTCCCCTTCTCCCATCCTTCTCTCCCCATCTCCCCTGCACATTGTCCCCTGTGTTTCACACTCATACAGTTCTCAGCTGTAGTCTCAGCTCTGGTGTTCTGCTCTGCATGTGTCAAGCAATGGAGAGTCCAGTGTTTGCTTGTCACCGTGTATTTCACGGTTTCATTGGGAACCTTCTTTTATTCAGGAGTGGAGATGCATGTCACAGTTCTGTGATTCCCGGTGCTGCAGTCTCCATTCCACCATTCATTCGTGAAATTACAAGTACATATTCGTTTACATTTATATCTTTTCGTTTTGTATTTTGGGTGTAAATTGTCTCATACCAGAGAGAACAGACAATATTTGTCCTTTGGTGATGGGCTTATTTCACGGAGCATAATGGTCTCCAGTTGGGAACACTTTGTTGCAAATGGTAGAATTTAATTCTTTCTGATGGCTGAGCAGCATTCCAAGGAGTATATGTACCACCATTTCTTTATCCAGTCCTCTTTCCAATGGGCGTCTAGGTTGTTTTCATGTCTTTGCTGTTGTTGATTGTGCTGCAGTGAAGGTAGGGATACAGGTAGCTTTCTCGTATTAGGTATCGGTTCTGTTGGATATACTACCAGGAGCGGGATTGCTGGGTCCTCTGGTAGATGAATTTCCAGCTGCCTGGCCACTCTCCGTATGGACCTCCACACTGACCACACAAGTCTGCAATCTGACCAGCAGTGCAGTAAGGTACTTGTTTCCCCACAGAAGATGAAGAATTTTTGAAAGTCTTAAGGTGGAGAGAAAGAAGGTAGAGCAGGAAGCCATCTGACTTTCTGGAGAGGGAGGTGGGTGGGGGTCCCTTAGGGCCAAGGACTCGGGCAGGGGCTGGCGTCCCCCGTGAAGCGAGCCTCGCCGGCCTGTGCGGGACACTGACAGCCTAGCACGCAGCACGCCCTTGGTGGCAAGCACTGAAGTTTAGGAAAGCCATGGTGATATCTAGGTTTTGTACCATTCTTTATCTTTTTCTTTCTTTCTTTTTTTTTTTCTTTTTTTTGAGATTTATTTATTTATTGGAAAGTCAGATATACAGAGAGGAGGAGAGACAGAGAGGAAGATCTTCTGTCCTCTGATTCACTCCCCAAGTGAGCGCAATGGCCGATGCTATGCCGATCCAAAGCCAGGATCCAGGAACTTCTTCTGGGTATCGCACACGGGTGCAGGATCCCAAAGCTTTGGGCCGTCCTCGACTGCTTTCCCAGGCCACAAACGGAGCTAGATGGGAAGTGGATCTTCCGGGATTAGAAACGGCGCCCATATGGGATCCTGGTGCGTTCAAGGCGAGGACTTTAGCCACTAGGCCACGCCGCCAGGCCCTGTTTATCTTTTTCTTAAATGCATTTAAAAATCTTGATTTGGGGGAAAGAGTTAAGGCTTCCCATTTCTCCAGAGCCCTTGCATTCTCGTCTCCTTAGACTTTGTCAGGCAGTCCTTGGCCCTGCACTGCTGTGGGGAGAACATGAGAAAGAGCTAGTATGTTCCATTGCTGTGTTCCTGATGGACAGCAGGGTACTGCCCATAGGCTCCTGGGTGTGCGTGGTTCTTAGATTTCCAGGCTGCTCATAGCCAAAATCCAAGCAAGCAGCCCTCCAGGCAAGCTGTGCTGAGTTTGGATGTGTTTTGTAAGTCACTAGTGGAAATGTCTTTCAATTTGCCTATGTCCTTTTCCTTTGATCAACTTCTCTTCTTCAACCCTCTGCTCCTTTTTTTTTTTTTTTAAAAAGCAAAGTCTGTAGTTTAAAATTAAGTATTTAAGTCCAGAGTCCAGATCCCCTGATTTTGATGTCATAGTTGAATTCATTGGGAAGTAAGGATGCCTGTATTGTTTTTTTTTTTTTTTTTTTTCCAGTTACGGTACATGGACAGCAGAGAAGATGAGCAGGTCCGTGGCATCACTATGAAATCCAGTGCCATTTCGCTGCACTATGCCGAAGGTACAAGGGATAGTCTTGCATCTTTCCTGTGCTCCTTTCTGTAGTGGAATGAATTGGGCGCCCCACTTCGTTCGCTTCGTGTCTCACGAAGCTCATTCTGGCATCTCCAAATCCGTTGCCGGAGTCAGGCTGTCCTGCCCGGGGCGCAGACATGCAGCTGCAAGTGGCTTGAGGGCAGCTCACACCTGCCTCTCTCCCCCAGCGTTAACTGGGTTGCTTCACAAGGGAAGAGGATTCCAGTGGCACACCATCATGTCCCACTTCGACCGCGGGCTGCCAGCATGACTTCCGGTTTTGCTGTCATTCCCTCTTGGAATTGATCTGATGGGTAGTCATAAAAATATTGTGAAATACATGGTCACCTTTATTCACTAACAGAAGTTTGTATTAAGGGGGAAAAAATGCCAGCAAGCTGAATGTCAAAAGGAGAATGCTGAAACAAAGTGATGAATCCGTGCCCTGAAATGCCATACAACTGTTAAACGATTGTTCTGTCTGTGATTCTATAGAAAGAATATCAAGGGGAGACACAGCAAAGCACATTGCAGAATGTCTGTGAGATGGGGTGAGTTTGGGTATATAAAGTCTGTTGTGTCTGCAGATGAAGGGGTGTGAAATGACGCCCCCCCACCAAGAACATAAGGGGGTTATCCTCAGACGCTGGTCATGATGATGCTCCTACTTTCCAGAATATGAATTTTGTACCTTTTGAACGTTTTGCATAGAATGTATACTTTAAAAACCTAATAAGGGGAATCCTCCCTCGTGGGCCTTCCTGTGATCCACCCTTCAGAGCCCCTGGCCGTGACACCAAGGAAGCCCCCATGTGTAGCCTGGCTGTTCTGCAGAGAACCTGAAAATGCCTGTGCCACACCAGTCTGCAACTTAGGCACGCAGGTGCCTGATGCTTAATATTTACACTAATACTTGATTTGTAAAATGCTGTCTTTCAGTTCTATAAGTGGTTTTTTTGTCTTATTTTCTGCGATTATTCTGCGATTCAGAGAATGGGGTCAAAGATGTATTCATTTCCTTGAATTTATTTACCCAAGGTTTATCTGAGGGTGAATTTACTTTTTATTATGATGAATACATTTCATTATTTATTTGGCTCTTTAAGCTCTTTCTTTGAGTTTTAACAAATTGATGAACACTAACCAATTACTTCTTTCCCAGAGCTGTAATCACATTCACTGACAGTACAAATATGTGATTGAATAAATATTAATATGCATCTCAGCTTTATCAGCTACAGAAGAAAATAAATTGCCAAGTATTCACAGATTAGCTTGCTAGGTTCGAAAGATATGCAGCATTAGATGTTAGCTCAGCTCATTAGAAGAAACTGGCTTTGCTTTTTTCCCATGAGAGTTTGGGAAGAAAAGGGGCAAAAATCACACTTCAGACAAAAATGAATTAGTATACAATTTTCATAAGTAAGGATGGAAAATTTTCCAAGAATTTGAGTGTTCATCATTAAGAATTGTTTTCAGCTATAGTAACAGTGCAGTTGTACCTGTTCAAATTATTTACTAAAGGGCATATTTTATATGCTCTGCATGAGTCAAAGGTAAGGTTTTTTCTAAACGTTCCTGCTAGTTCCCCGCCACCCCATTCTCTTTTCAGCCCCACCACTACCCTATCAGACCTGTGGGTACGAACATTAAACTAGCGCCAGGACTCTTGTGTTTGGAAACCTTAAGGACAGGTGCTTCTGTATAACACAATATAAAACTTACAGAAAGATATTAAATGATCATCATATGACATGACACAATTAGAAAAAATAAAAATCACTTCTTAAGCAAACTTGGCCAGCACTGCTGTGAATGTGGCAGAGGTCAAAGTGAGCACGCAGGTACCATGTGGCCTCGAGTGTGTCTCAAGGAGCAAGCCACATTGGGTTAGGAATGTTCACAGTTCCTAAAATTTGTGGTTGAAAAAACAAATCACCTTAGCACTATTTTTCAATTTGAAAAGCAAAGAGACAGAGGTTTTCCCGACTTACTGATTTGCTCTCTGAATGTCCACAAATCGCTGGGGCTGCCCAGAAGCCAGGAACCCGGAACTCAGCCAGGGTCTCTCGCATGGGTGGCGGAGAGCAGCCTGCCTGAGCCGTCCCTGGCCGCCTTCCCTGGGCGCACGTTAGCAAGATGGTGGGATCAGAAGTCGAGCCAGGACTTGAACCCAGGCACTCTGATAGGGAAGCCAGCAGCCCAAGTGGCATTTCAGCTCATGTGCCCATTCTTATGGTACTAAACATATACAAGTATTATACTGCTGGCTATTTTGTCCCTTAACTTTTCTAAATTTCTTACTTGTTGATAAATTTCTAATGTGGGAAAAGATAACAATTTTTACCACACAAATTCCGGGAAAGTCAGTTGGTTCAAACGATAAGCGTGTCTATGTGAGAAATGGCGAGAGCCTGTGCTGTGTGAGTATGTGAATCCTCATTCGATCAGACCCTCTTCCAGGTCTCCCACGCGGGTTCAGGGTCCCCAGGCTTTGGGCTGTCCTAGACTGCTTTCCCAGGCCACAAGCAGGGAGCTGGGTGGGACGTGGAGCAGCTGGGACATGAACTGGCATCCATATGGGATCCTGGGTATGCAAGGCAAGGGTTTAGCCTCTCAGCCATCGTGCCAGGCTCTCTGTCTTCTCATCTTCCATCCCAGTTGGAGGAATGGTGCTGTCACTGTCATTTGTTGTGAAAACGGGGGCCTGTGTCTTATCGTGATGACATACAGTGCAGTGGGAGATGGCGTGAGAGACGGCTGATGTGGATCCGCTGCTCTCCCTGTGGAGTTGAGTAAGCACCGCAGGTTGCAGCAGTGAGCCACGGTGTTAAGGGCTCTCATCTTCCCTCTGCCAGCCTTGCAAGTGGCAGTGCCACTGAGCAGAAGCATCCCAGCAGTGGAGGAGTGTCACTGCGAGGCCTGCTCCCCCTAGCAGAGCATCGGGAGGGTGGTTCTCAGCGAGGGCAGGGTTCCCATCCTGGGGAGCAGGTTTGCGCTGGCGTTTTCCTAAGGGAAACCAGAAAGGAGTGAGGCAGCTAGAACTGGTGGGGTCCATGCAGGGTCTAGCTCCACTTCATGGTGGAGGCAAGTGCAGCCAGGAGCAGTTGTGCTTGCCAGTTGTGGTTATTTCCAGGTCGTGGTCCCTTCCCTCCTCCCATGTGCCTTCTCTCCTCCTCTCTCCCTTCCCTCCCCCATTTCCCATCTCCCTTCCCTCCTCCATCAGTGTCAGCCTTCTCCAGCCCTTCCTTCTCTTTTCATGTAAATGGAGCTCAGTGCCCCTCTGTGCCCTGTTGCTGTGTCTGCACATGAGAGAGTCAGCATGGCACATTGGTGCTGTACATTTCTGTCAGATCACAAGCCACAGTAGCTGACTCACAGCTGTTTGAATGTGTTGATTTAAAATAGGAAGGCGTGTAAGTGATGTTTCTTGTGGAGGGAGACTTGTGATTCCGGTTGGGATAATTCATGTCCGTAACTGCTGTTGGCTACTATGGAAGAAGCTGACTTAGGAACCTGTCCTGGGATAGCTCGGGTGGTGCCCCCACCTGCTCTGAATGGACACAGTCCTGGTACTAGTACGCTGGAGTGGAACCGACACGTGCACCGCATGCAGGGCTTTGTCCACAGCTCTCTGTCACTTCCCCTTCATTTGAGGCAAGGTTTTCTCTGCTGACTGTTCTGTGTGTGTGCTTTAGTGATCATCCAGTGTTTCTGGGATCGGAACACTGAATTCCTTCCGCGAGCTTTTACTGTTCACGGAGGAGGTCTTTTGGCAGGTGCTGGCGAGCAGTAAGTGCTTGCTGTGAAACGATGCCTTAGAGCTCTGTAACTGTGAGCGAGGTTTTCTGTGAACACCCTGTAAGCAGCACAAATTGTCTGGAAGACATTGCCCGTACTTAACTTCTGACCTTTCAGCCTTTTTTCCCCCTTTGTCTTCAGTTGCCTGGTACATAAAAGCAAAAAATAGATTTTTTTTTTTTGCTTGGCTTATTGTATCAGCCCCTTGAAATGAACAAGTGTAACTTGCAGTGGCTGGAAATAAAGCAGCGGAAGTTTTTCCGCCCCTACATGCCATAGCAGGGATGAATTTAATACACAGTTCTGGGACCGAGCTACCAACTAACCAATCATGAGGCATATGGAAAACAATTATTTTTTAATTTCCACTAGCAGTAATGATAATGTCTAACATGGTAAATCCCATAACTTTTTAGATGTGTTTTATTTTTTCATCCTCACACATGCAAAACAGTGGATGGCCTTTACCATAGTGGATGTCTTTTTTCTCAAAAAACATGTGTGGAGCCAGTGTTGTGGCTCTGTGGGTTAAACCAGTGTCTGCAGTGCTGACATTCAGCACTGGCACCCTGTAGGCACCAGCTCACCTCCTGATTGCCCCACTTCTATCTCGGCTCCCTGCTAAGGAGCCTGGGAAAGCGGTGGGAGATGGGTCAAATGGGAAACCCTGGCTCCTAGCTTTGGTCTGGCACAGGCCGTGCTGTTGCTGCCACTGGGAAATAAATTGGCAGATGAAAGATTCCGTCTCTCCTCTCTCTCTGTAGCTCTTATCTTTCAAATAAAATAAATATTTAAAAAATAAAAATTACAGTGTGGCTAAGTCACAGCGGAGGAACTAAGCTTACGAAGTGGGGATATGGACCTTTTCTTACCCTATCTGTGCAGTTTGGTCGGAGGTCTCTGGAAAGAGTTGAGATGAGGAAGACTTCCGTGGAGGAGCTGCAGGGCCCTGGGCTGAGCTCTGCCTGCTCTGGGACTGCTGCGGCTGCTTGCTTGCTCTCACCGTGAGGAGCCGTTGAGTAGCTGCAGCTTGCACACTGCTTTTTTTGTTTTAATTCTTTTATTTTGGTAATCTTTACATAGTTGATTAGGACACAAAGGGTCAAGAGCTACAGAAAAGTGGGTAAAACCATTGTTTCCACACTAATATGTATACATTTTTCTATATCCAGGGTAAGGGAAGAGATAAAGCGAAAAGCCCCACCCAGCCTCCCACCCATCCTCCCACCCATCCTCCCACCCATCCCAGGTCCCCGATGTGGGGCATGCTCCGAGGGTCCTGCTCATGCAGCCTTGATAGTTGAACAGTTCTGAATTGTTGCCAATTTCGCCACTCCAAGCGCGATGAAATCTATTTAGAATCCAGTGGCTGACATAGTCTCTTCATGGTTGGGGTTCTGAGATCAGCAGTTCAATTGGAGGGATCCCCAGAGAAACTTCGTCTGAGGTGATCCCAGACCCAATTCTTGTGTGTGCGTGCCAGTACAGGGTCCAGCACCATCCATCGCCCCAATCAGCTTATTCCTATGCTGGTGGTTGCAATTGCTGGGTCAGTTCTGTTTCCAGCCCTGTCTTCCATATGAACCAATGGGTGTTATAGTCCAGCCCGATCCTGTGCACTTCATACTTGGCCCTCACGCAAACCAGTGGGAGCTGCAGTCTAGTTGGGTCAACTCCCCATTACCCCCACCAGGTCTACCCCCTACCCTGGTTCCCATGCTTGCTGCCAGTATGTACCGCAGGCTTGTCCAGTCTGTCCCATGTCCCATTTAACTCATTCATGTCAATGAGCATTGAAGCCTACCTAGCTCAACCCAACCAGCTCCACTATCCAGCCCACACACATGCTGGTGGGTGCTGTTCTGACTAGCCACCCCTGCCCCAATCCTGATTTTCATGCTCTCCAGTGGGAGTGGTAACCCAAGAGGGAGGTGCCCACTATTTCCCTCCTAGGCTACTCCCACTCCCAGATTATGTACTCTCTGGGTGATTCTGGAGTTTAACTTGACAGAATTAGCTCTCAGTGCCAGCCTTTGCCAGCTGATGCTGTGGCAAAGCCCAGCCAACCCTCACTCACTCAGATTTATGCTTGCACCAGTTGGAACAGTCAGGCCAACCTGAGTTTCCCGACGTAGCTCACATGAGGCCCATAGGTGTTGTGTAGCCTGGTCTGGTCTGCTCCCATCCCAACTCTTGCTCTCCAGTGGGAGTGGCTGTCCAGCAGGGGAGCCCTCCACATTCCCCCTACTGGCTTTGCCCCCTCCCTCCCTGGTTCTCATGTGTGCTGGTTGAGCGTTGCGGCCCAGTCTGATACAGCCCACCTCACCTTGGCATTTGCCAGTGGGTGTTGCAGCCTGGTCCGGCCCAGCCCATCCCCAATTCCAGCTAACGCTGGTGAGTTATAGCCTAGCCCAGCCACCAGGCATCCAATCCCAGCTGTAATGTGCCCTGGTATGTGTTGCGACCATACCTGGCCTAACCCACACTCTGTTCTGGTGCTCAGATTCGCTAGCAGGTGATGTGGTCTGGTTCAGCCTGGTCTGCCCTGACCTATGCCAAATGTATGCCAGTGGGTACCTTTCCATGACCTGGTCTGGGCTGCTCCCTTTTGTTGTTCTTGGCATTTACCTGCAGGGACTGTGTCCTGCCACAGGAGTTGCCCAGGTTCCTCCATCAGAACCTCTCCCGTTGCCAGATCTTGTGCATACCATTGGGTCCATGAGCCAGCCCTACTCAGTCCACCCTTATCTTAGCAGGAACAGTGGCATTTCCTTACTGGCATTCAACCCATTCTGGTTCTCACTGTTGTATGTTTCAGCCAGGCCAAGGCATACCCAGACACAGCTCACACATGGCTCAGTAGGGGTAGAGACCTAGCCTAGTCCCTCCTATATCTACCTTGGTCCTCCAGAGCACCAGATGGTGCTGGAGTCTAGCCCGACCTGGTGTGTTCAGTCCCAGTCCGCACTTGTGCCAAGGGAGACTGCAGCCATATCCAGACCAGAATGCAGCCCCTTACTCATACCCCGCACTCACCAGTGGGAACCCCAACCCAGTTAGGGTATCTTCTTAGCTCCCCAATCAGGTTTGTCCCCAACCATAGATCGCATGCATGCCAGGTGAAGAGCTATGCCAAGCTCGATTACCACGTGGTGACAGAGCCCATGGGTCAAGTCCTGGGCATTGGGTCCGACCTGGCTCGGGTATTCTCCACAAGCAGGTCCCCACCACTGCCGAGGGCTGCTGTCACCTGAGCCACCAGGATCTAACTCCAGGCTGCAGACTACTACAGGTTCTTTGCCCACAGCACCTCTCTAGGCCTGTGTGTTTGTGTGTGGCAGGGGGGAGCCCAACGCCAGCTGTGTTTCTTAAGTTGATCACACTCTGATTTGTCAGAGGGTATAGATTTTGGGGTGAAATAACTTGCTGAACCTGATCTGAACCTGTTATCTCTGGTGAATTGTGAAGGGTCCGGAGTTGGATGTGTAATTAGTGTGAGGGAGATGGAGAAGTGTCTTTTTTTTCTCCCCCAGTGTCTTCTCTAACTTTGCAGTATTGTTGTATAGAAAACCCGGGGTTCGTGTGGATATGTTTTCAGAATCTGTGGAGGCTTTTAATGAGTTTTTTTTATGAGTTCAAATCTCATCCGTTTAGTCTTTGGGGACAGGACCCTGGACTCACGCTGAGGTCTGGTGGAGGGGGTCTGGGAGAACTGGTGCTGTGACCTGTGGTGGTTCTGAAGCTCTGTTAGCGCACAGTGGGTCATTGCACCGGAGCCCTGGTTCTTTGGCTTGCTGTGGAGATGCGCAGCGTCCTTCTGTGGTTGGAGCCTTCCCTGTGGCCGCCCCAGAGAGTCACTGTTACCCAGCATGCAGTGTGCATGGGAGGAGCAGGTTGCGGAGAGGGGTGGCAGTGCCTGCTGCTGAGGGCGGCAGTCTTGCCCGTTGATGACAGCCTGTCCCTGTGACCCCAGCGCACTGTGTTTCAGGAATTCACCACCAGTAGGATCTGAACATGCAGGGCTTATTGTGTGATACATGTAGTGGTTGAAGGAATGGTCTTTGGAGCTAGATGGGTTTGAACTTGTACTCTTGCCATTTCATGTTGTGTGGTTTTATGATTATCAGTATCACTGGAGGCACAGCGCAATCATTAAAATAACATTGGGAAAGAATTCTTCACCTGGGCCTAACATGGTGACATTCAGCTCTGTAGTCATTCTGGAAACAGAGTTAAGGAGAGGAGCAAAAATACAGTAGAATATAATTTGAGCTTTTTAAAAGAAACCCATGTCACACTTGGAAAGAGACAGAGTTCTGTAGTGTGACTTTTTCTGCATTGCTTCCTCAGCTCCGTGTTGATGCCAGATCTCTATTACGAGTCCCCAGTTGTTCTTGCTCTGCCTGGGAGGTGGCATAAAGGAATTTCAGTGCTGGCACTGCATACACCCAGATGACCTGTGAACCTACTATAAACGTCATAGATTTTTTTTTGAATATTAAAGAAAGTGATATATAGGGAAGCACACACTAGCCACCCCTAGTGTTGTTGTAGAATTGAGTCTACACCTCAGTGTAGCAGAGTCACACATTGTCCCATGAAAAGTTGGGGACCTTGGCCAGACGCTCTGTGTCTTCAGCATGCGGGGACTTTGAGCAGCTTTCGTTTTTAGCCCTTGGGCATTGGTTTCTTTCATTCTCGATTTTCTGATCTGTGAAATGACAATAGTGGCAGTTATAGGGGTATCTTACGTATTTCATAATCAACGGTTAGTGTGTTATGAGTATTTTTAGCTCAGTGTCTGGTTCAGTGCCAAGCTTTTAGTAATTGATCATAACTTAGGATAATAAAGTCTCCAGCATTTTATATAGATGCAGTTTGACATCATCGTGGCATCAGTGGTACAAGTGGGAACCACTGCTGTTGACTGACCTTCTACCGCCCTGAGCTTGTTCAGTCTTCTTGGAAGTTTTCTTACTCTGGACTGTCCGAGGGAGAGTGTTACAGTATGTGTATTTGAATTTCTTTTCAGGCAATGATGAGTACCTGATCAATCTGATAGACTCCCCAGGACATGTGGACTTCTCCTCGGAGGTGTCCACAGCTGTCCGCATTTGTGACGGGTGCATCATCGTGGTGGATGCCGTGGAAGGGGTCTGTCCACAGGTACGAGGTGGAGGAAGGCGGGGAAGCAGGAGGGGCTGATTGTGGATCTGTAGCATCACGGTGGCCATTTCTCTGGCAGTCAGAAAGCTGTTTTCATAGTTCCCGTCTGGTCATGTTGAGGCTGCCCTGGCATTAAAAGCCTCCCGAGTTTTAAAGGGATCGTGGACATGATTGATGACTTCAGCAGTGGGTGTTTTGGATTGAAGTGTGTGTGTGTGTGTGTGTGTGAGAGAGAGAGAGAGAGAGGTACTTTCTTTGAGATGGACTTAGGGAAAATGGGGAAATGTTGAACTGGGAGAGGATCTGAGGGTTTTAATTTTAAGGGAAAAGGTTTCAGAAATGTCAGAGGTGGTGGATAACTAGGCACTGAGCTAACTTTTCCCTAGATAGAAAAAAATCAGTTCTACTGGCTTCTTGGTCTACATGTGTGCCCTCCCCCCTCCCCCCCCGCCACATACACTTCATTCCTCTTCTCACTTTCTCTTCCATACTCTGAAACCAGGATTTCTCATCTAAAGCCATCAGAGTTGGAAAAATCCATCCTAACCCATGAGGGAACACGGCCAGGTAGATTTGATATGGATAGAGCTCAGAGGACCACCCTACATTCATTTCTCTTCAATACGTTTTAAACTTATGTTACATCATTTTAAAGATGTCACCTTTACATTCGCCTTCGTATGTACATATGTATTTCTATTACTGTCTCTTTTTAAAAATAACAACGGCCTTAAATTACCCAGATGAGAGAAAGGTGATAATCCAGGAGGATGTGCTATGACTCTGTTGTCACCTTCCCTGTGATGTCCCAGCGCGAGAGGCGCAGCCGTAAAGGGGTCATCGCCTGAGGTTCCCTCCTGGAACGGAAACCTCAGGGATGTGAGCTTGTGGTGATGAGGCCCAGGCACACAGGGAAATTCTGCATCGTGTTGGGGTTTTGACCTATGTGATAGTAAGATGAGTGTGTTATAATTATTTAGCTAAGTGCCTTGCTTGTATGTAAAAATGAAATTAGATTCCACATATTTATTTTGGTGCAAACAAAAGATGAAATCCCATGCTTACAATGTCTTTCAAAACATATATGGAAAGTACAGAGTAGGAAACACTGTGGGTTTCACGTGTGTGTGTGTGTGTGTGTGTGCATTTTGTGCTTGCCTAGTGAGCACCTGTGTCTCACTGGCAGTGTCTGAGTTACAGCGAAGCAGTATAAGAATGTGTCTGGTTATTCTTTGAAGTGATGAGTTGTTTTCAATTCTATTTTGATCAGACGCAGGCAGTTCTGCGACAAGCCTGGCTCGAGAACATCCGTCCCGTTTTGGTGATTAATAAGATAGACCGCTTGATAGTGGAGCTGAAGTTCACCCCACTGGAGGCCTACTCTCACCTCAAGAATATTTTGGAGCAGGTATTCTGTTCTTCAGTGTTTTAAAAACCTGGGGCTCACGAGAGAGAGTGGCAAGGCAGTCACTGAGCTGAGTATGAGATGGTGCCGCAAAGAACTCCCTAGCTATGCACTTTGTCACCCCAGCTTCGTTTGTGGTGCTGCTGTCCTGCTACGAGAGAGCTAGCAAAGCAGACGAGCTCCCAGAGGTCCCTATCATCTGGAAGCACCTTCAGTGTAAAGCTTATCCGGTAAGCTCTCTTGTTGAGAACTCTGTGGTTTGATTCCAAAGGGAAGCAGTGTTAGGAGGCAGACGCACTGGTATCTTTATTGTTTATCTGAAGGGAAAATTTTACCTCAAGTATTCACTCATGGATTTTTCTTCAGCAAATATTTACATTCATGGGTGTTGAATGAGTGAATCGTTGGGTGTTCGTCGTGGGTAGAAAGGTGGCCAGGTCTGAGTCCTTGCTTTCAAAGAACTCGCTGTGCTGTCAAGGAGAAGTGTTTGGAGAACAGTGAACTAGGTCATGGGTGGGACTTGATAGTGTTAAGGGCCACTTCACCAAGTCTGGCTCAAGAGGGAAGGGAAGGCAGGAAGTCTGGAGGTGAAGAATAGGTGAGTATTGGTTAGAGAAGTAAGGGAAGGGCCTTCAAAAGAGAAGCAAAAAGGTGAGTGAGACAGGCAAGAATGGGTGTGTTCCAGTGTTTCATGCAAGGAACAGGTTGCTGTAGCTGAAAATCTAGATCACATTGAGTCATGAAAAGATGAACAAGAAGGATACACAGGAGTTTGAAATCTCTTCTTCAAGAAAAACTGTTGATGAGAACAACCTAAATTTATTTGCTAATGGAGGGTGGAGAGAACGATAAAGATAGACCAGTGTAAAAGAATAACCTTACGAAACAAGAGCCGTACCTTCTATCCTATACAAAAGTCAACTCACAACAGACCTGAAACCATCAAATTACTAGAGGAAGACATAGGGGAAACACTGCAGGACGTTGGCATTGGCAAGACCTCAAAAGCACCGGTGATAAAAACAAAAATAGACAAATGGAATTATATCAAGTAAGGAGGCTTCTTCATAAAGGAAATCCTCAACAAAATGAAGAGGCAACCAATGGAAGAGGAGACAGTATTTATACAAACTATATAATTTTTAAAAAGCTTTTCATTTTCCTTGAAAAGTCAGATATATAGAGAGAAGGGGAGATAGAGCAGATCTTCTGTCCACTAATTCACTCCCCGAGTGGCTGCAATGGCCAGAGCTAAGCACATCCAAAGCCAGGAGCCAAAAGCTTCTTCCAAGTCACCCACGTGGGTACAGGGTTCCAAGGTTGGACCATCCTCCACTGTTTTCCCAGGCCACAAGTAGGGAGCTGGATGGGAAATAGGGCCGCTGGGATATAAACCAGCTTCCATATGGGATCCTAGTACATGCAAGGTGAGGACTGTGGCCACTAGGTTATCATGCTGGACCCCAAACTGTATTTATGATAAAGAGCCAACATCTAGAATATATAAGGAGCTTAGCAGTTCCGCAACAGAACAATCCAGTGAAGAAATGAACTAAGGATTTGACCAGGCATTTTTTGAAAGATGAAATACAAATGACCCTCAAACCCACGAAAAAATGCCCAGTATCACTAGCCATCAAGGAAATAAAATGAAAACCACAGTGAGGTTTGACCTCACCCCAGTCAGAATAGCTATCTTCCAGAAATTAAAAAAATAACAAATGCTGGTGAAGATGTAGGCAAGAACTATGTTGGTGGGAATGTAAAGTGGTATAACCATTATGGAAGACAGTGTGGAGATTCCTAAGAAGTCTGTAAATAGCTGTATGACCCAGTCATCCCACTCCTGGCAAATTACCCAAAGTATATGAAACTAACATGTGAAAGTTATCTGTCCCTCCTTTTCCTAAATAACACCTCAGTTCACAATAGCCAAAATTTGAAATCAACCCGGAAGTTCATCATTTGACAACTGAATAAAGAATATATGAAGCATATGCATGATATACACTAGGCCGTAAAGAAGAATGAAATCTTGTCTTTTACAACAGAATGGGTGCAGCTGGAACCTGTCATGCTTAGCGAAATAAGCTAGACCCAAAAGTCAAGTATCATTTGTGTTTTCTGACTTAATAGAATCTAATATGTAGAATATAAAAAATTGTAATATATATGAATGAAATTGACACGGTACTACTTGATTATTGTTTATAGCTTTTGTCTATACTGAGCAATAGTGCTCTTTATGTGTTGAATTCTTTATTTAATTGTGGGTTAAGCCTGTGATTATAAAGTATATTCAAAGTGTGTTATCCCCAAAATTAAAAAAAGGAGGAGGAAAAGTAGGAATTCTTGTAACTGTATATATGACATATATGAGTTCTGTTCTCTGTATAGATAAATAAGTAAGATTGTTATTTTTTTTTAATGAGTGACTCAGATCTAGCATTCCCATTAAGATATACGGCCGACTGGACACAAGTCAGATGCTGTGCTGCCGTCCTGCAAAGCCAGGAGATAGGCCAGTGATGTTTGCTGATGAGAAAGGACTTCTGCTAGGTGGGAGTGTCAGGAGCTTGCAGGAATTCTGAATAATAGGCAGCTGGTAAGAGAACTTGAGATTTGGACGTCCGGGAGGAAGGACTGCAGGGAGTGGTGGACAATTTTGTTTATTGAGTCTTGCTTATTTTTACTTATTTGACAGACAGTGTGACAGAGAAAGAGACGGGGAAGAGAGAGCTCACCCTTGCACAGGTTCATTTCCCTAAATCACTGCAACAGCCCTGGTCCTGGAGCTCTGTCCGAGTCTCCTGTGCAGGTGGCAGGCACTGGAGCCCTTGTCTGCTCCTTCCTGGGGTGTGCATCATGGGGAGCAGAAGAGGAGTGAAGATGGGACATGATCTCACTCTGTTAGGGATGTGCCGTTCCCAAGGGCATAACCATCTTGCCATTCTGCACAGAAACTGGTAGAGATTTAAACAGTTGATCTAAGAAATGGATGAAGAAGTTGACTATATTAAAATCCGGGGTAATGGGAGTTTGGAAACAGTGAGTTCCTAGAGATTCTAGGCCACAGAACTGAAAAACAAAGATGTGACACATTTGCGTTAAAGCAACCATATCATCATCATCACAGAAATGACCTTTCATCAGCTTATACAGTAGCCCTCTCGTCCGGGGTTCCTGCTCTTCAGGATTTCAGAAGTTACAGAAGTCAAGCAGGGTCTGAAGATACTAAGAGGAAAATTTCAGGAACAATTCATAAGTTTTCAATTCCAAGCCATTCTGGGGAGTGCGGTGAGGTCTCGTGCTGTCCCACTGCATCCTGCCCTGGGCGTGTGTCAGTTTTTGTCCAGTATATCCAACCACCTGCCAAGTCAGTCACTTGGCAGCTAGCTGCCTCTGTTTTCACTGCAGTGTGTGGTGTGGATGTGTCTAAGTAAGGTTTTAATTAATAGCTCCAGTGCACAGTGGAGTAGTAGAACCATCAGTTTTATAATATGCTGTATTGTTGCAATTTTTTCTACTTCATTGTTAGCTATTGTTGTTAAACTCCTACTCTGCCTGATTTGTAAACTAAACTTTATGGTAGGTTTATTTGCATGGCACTCGACATAGAATGCATTGGGAAGTTTCAGGCATCCCTTAGGATCTTGGAATGGATCTCCACGGAAATCAATCAATGCATGAGAACCGACTACTGTAATTTTAGTTTTGCTGTGTTTTTAAAGAAGGGACTATTGATGTGTAGATTATTCATTGATGATAAATGTCAACTTCAGCCACGTGTGCTTCATGTAAACCCTAACTGTGACTGATGCTTGTAGTTCTCATTCAAGCTAGACTCTGTGTGTGTGTGTGTCTGCATCTCCTGCGATGAGTGTGCCACGCAGCACAGTGACCCTCTGCCGTTTTACCATCTCTCCTAGATTAATGCACTCACAGGAACTCTTTTTACTTCTAAAGTCCTAGAAGAAAGAGCAGAGAGAGAGACTGAGTGCCAGGTGACGCCCAGCTCTGCGCAAGGCGAGCAGGTGTATGACTGGAGCACCGGCCTGGAGGACACGGACGACTCTCACCTTTACTTCTCTCCCGAGCAGGGCAATGTGGTGTTCACCAGCGCCATAGATGGGTGGGGCTTCGGGTAAGTCCGAGTCTCCGTGTGGATTTGACACAGACCTGATTTCTTGGTTAAGCTGCATTTTCTGATAATTGTTGATTCGCCTACATCTGGGAGGGAGGAATAAAAATAGTTCACCCCGTACAAGTGCTCTCATGGTACAGCATCACTGCAGGACATTGACATCAGTAGCCTCAAGTTCAAGAGCACGCCTACCAGGTGAAAGGGCCCCCCCGGTTTCCCTTAGGGCCATATTTACTTGATTCTCACCCCTCAAGCCCTCTTTGGCCCCTAATAACCACTTACCTGCTTTCTCTGTTGCTAAAATCTGTCATTTCTAGAATGCTCCAGAAATGCAACCAAAACAGAATAGCATAGAAATTAAACCAAGCAATATGTTACCTTTTGTGTACTGGATTCTCTCACTCGGTATAATTCTGTAGAAATTTCCCAAAGCAATTATACAAATTCATTGCTCAGCAGTATTCCACGTATGAATTTACCAGAGTTTGACCGTTTACCTGTAATATGGCCTCCATTTTTTTTTCTGACAGAAGGGATTTTCCCCAAGGCAGTATCATATCATGTAATTTCTATGTTCATCAGAAATTACAGATACTTTGTTCCAGTTGGTGCCTGAAAAAGTTCATACCAAATGAACAAGGTCAGCTAACGGAAATAAAATAGAAACGGAAGTTACGGAGCTGCTGAGCCTCTGCACCTGGCATGCGTGCTTGCTGCTTCCCTTGGCTCCTTCCTGAGTCTCAGTTTCCTCATCTGAGAAGTCAACAATATTGGAAGATGATTCCCAAGACTTTCTTCCAGTTAACATGAAGTAGTGATTTGTTCAGCCCTGTAGCCGAGTGAGACCCCTGGATTTGCTAACTTGTGAACGTTCTGCCAATGAGCCACAAGGGGGGAGGCTTGTGCTTTGCTGCGGTAATTAACACTTTATACGGATGTTAGTCTGAATCTCACAACACACCAGGTTCATTGCAAGGGGAAAGGACAAAAGGCAGTGTAGAATAACGGTCGCCATTCCCCTTTCCAGCTGCAGAGGTTGGTGGGTGTTGTCGGTCAGTGACTTCCTCGGGTTGGACAAGGTGACGTTTAGAAATGAGCCAGAACCTCTTCTCAGCCAGTAGGTGAGCTAGTGTTGGGGAGGACAGTGGGGCAATCAAAAGCCCCGGAGAGCTTTTCCTTCCAGGTTCCTTCTGAAGTGTCAGGGATTGGCAGAGGTGGTAGCTGCATGTGTCCAAAAGGTGGCAAATTGGGTCCAGCGTGGTGGCCTGGTGGTACAGGTCCTTGTCTTGAAAGCACTGGGATCCTATATGGGCACAGGTTCTAATCCTGGCAGCCCTGATTCCCACCCAGCTCCTTGCTTGTGGCCTGGGAAAGCAGTCAAGGACGGCCCAAAGCCTTGGGACCCTGCACCTGCGTGGGAGACTCAGAAGAAGTTCCTGGCTCCTGGCTTCAGATCAGCTCAGCTCTGGCCACTGCGGTCAGTTGAAGAGTGGATCAATAGACGGAAGATCTTCCTCTCTGTTTATCTGCCTTTACAATGAAAATAAATAGATCTTAAAAAAAAAAAAAGTGGCAAGTGAGCACATCTCAGAGTCTGACAGTTGGCTCTGTAAACTCCCAAGCAGGGACACAGCACTAAGAAGTGTTGGCTAGAGGTTGAATTTACGTCTGCCACCTCAGTCTGCCCTGTTAATGGGTGTTTGTCTCAGAGAATCCGCTCTGAAACAAACAGAAATCTGAACTCGTAGGAAATAGGAATGAGGAAGAAGAGTTCATGGGAAACCCCTCCTGTTAGTTTTATTTATCTTCCTGCCCCCCTGCCTTAGTATCTGCAGTTGACATCCATGCCCTGGGTGTCCTGGTGGACAAAACTGTGTGTGCTTCAGTTGCTTCCTGCTTGGTCAGGTTGTTGAGGATGAAGGACAGGTGAGCACACTGAATAGCTTAGGAAAGTCTTGGCATCTCAACATCTTGTCCAGGTCTCTGCTGAGAATCTTGCTGGAAGTCACTTTGTGGTGAAGGTGGAGTGGATTTCCAGAATAGGAAAGTTACGTTGGAAACTGCTGGTGTTTGTAACCAACTAGTGATGGTTGGATGAGTAAAAACGTCTAAGTGGTAGTATAGAAAAGTCTTTGAGGATAGTGGCTTAAGCATGCAAGCACCTGTCTTCCTGCGATTTATTATTTGAGTAGAGATTTAAAAGTAATTATGAAAATGTTGGAGAAAATCTCTGGTATTTGTCTGACATGTTGTAGAAGAGAAAATAAAATATAACAGTTTGGGGGTGAGACAAATCAATCTTGTTAAAATTTCTGGAAACAAGAACAAAAACCATGCCGGAAATCCGACTGATCTAAACAATGGTGACAGATCATAAATTATGAAATACCCACATTTGGGAGATTGAGTATTTTTAAAAAAGGAAATTCCTTGAGGAAGCTGGGAACCCAGAAGTTTGTTACAGAAAAGAAACAGCCACAAAGCCTAATGGGCAGAGGCTAAACACCAAAGTTGGGTCCACTCAAAAGAAAAGAAAGTAGGTTTGCCAGTATTGATGGGAAAGTAGAATTGGTGGCAAATGGTTTATGACATAAAGATCATTTTTCACGTGCGTAATTGGTACATTTCAGAAGTGAAGAGATTAACTCTGATTCAGCCATCACAGCAAAGAACATAAGCCAAAATAGAGCTGTTGGGTATGAACCTGCAGGCGCAGGGTCTGGGGAGATTTCATCGTGGGTGCCACTGGCCAACTGTGATAACTTAAATACAAACCTAAGCCGCTTGATGGTATAAACGAAGCCAAAATGAAAGTGTCAGTGCAGAACGTGAAAAATACGAAAGATTCAGAAGCTAAGCAAATGGTGAAAGCTTGGTGTGCTGATCGCTTAGTCGTTACCCCCCTGCTTTCCCTGTGTGGGAACAGACCCAAGTGACCAACATGGAGAGCAGGGGCTGAGCCTTCCCTGTGCCCCTACCCAGCACGAGGGCAGATTGGAAGCTGCAAGGCGGAGAAAGCGCCTGGCACGCAGGCCGTAGAGGTTCTCCCGGCACTTGCCTCCACCTCTAGGCTCTCGGGTATGCTGCTAGTCTAACCTGCAAAGGGTTACAGCCTTGCTGGAAAAATGAGTGTCTGTAGCAATGCAGAGTGAAGGTCTCCTGGCTCTGCAGGAAGAGAGAGGCCCTGGGCCCTGCTCAGCGTGCTGAGGACTCCTCCATACTGATCCTGGCAGCAGGCAGTGCCACAGAGCCCACTTCTTCTTCAAAGCTCAGGAATTGTGCCCAGAAGGTGGGACCTTTGCCTGCACTTCACTGGATGGGTACTGGGGAGCCAAGGCAGAGGCCGGAAGTGCCCCCTTTGGCATTCACCTGTTGGGAAAGCTGCCGAAGTCTGCAGGTCTGGGAAGTGGGACAGTAATTTCTGGAGAGAAAGCGTCCCTCCTTCAACATGGAAAGGGGGGAAAAATGCATACACACATATATAGATAATGTAAGCCTCATGGAAACTAAAATCTTGAAACATTTTGAAACACACTGATAGCTCAGCCTCTGCTAACTGGACCTGTGGGATCCAGTGGGAGATACAGCTTACAGTAACAGGCTACTGGGCACCTGCTGGACCTTCTGAGCACTAGCTCCTGCTCTCAGCAGCCTGTGATGGTGTCCCTTGGATTTTGAGGGGTTTTATTTTTCTTTTTTAAGATTTATTTATTTTAATTGGAAAGGCAGATCAGACTTACCGAGAGAAGGAAAAATAGAAAGGCCTTCCCTCCACTGGTTCACTCCCCAGGTGACCACAGTGGCCAGAGCTGTTCTGATCCAAAGCCAGGAGCTTCTTCTGGTCTCCCATGCCGGTGCAGGCTCCCAGGGCTTTGGGCCATCCTCGAATGCTTTCATAGGCCACAGGTAGGGAGCTGGATGAGAAGCAGGGCCGCCGGGATTAGAACTAGTGCCCGTATGGGATCCTGGTGCTTGCAAGGTGAGGACTTTAGCCACTAGGCTGTGGGATTTAAGTTTTCAACTCAGGTCTTGTTGGTAAATACCAAAGACCATTAATTACTGGGTTCATGGCAAGGATATGTTTAGTTTTTAAACATTTGAACAATTGCCAGCCATTTTCCAGAGTAACTGTACCATTCTGCATTCCCAGCAACAGTGTTCGGGAATTCCTATTACCACACATCCTCGCTAGCTGGATGTGGTCCATGTTCAGGATGTTGGCCATTTCTGTTAGGCATGCAGTACAGCCCATCGTTGTTTCAATTTACATCTCCCTGATGACGTAGGAAGCAGAGTATATTTTCACATGCTTAATTCCAATCTGTGTATCTTCCCTGTTGAGGTGACTGTTAAGGTCTTTGGCCTGTTTTGTTAGTTTATTTCCTGGTTGGGCTTTAAGAGTTTTTGTGTGTTCTGGATCCGGTCCTTTCCCTGGTGTGCGTTTTGCTGTATGCTCTCCCATTCTCGTGAGAGCATCTCACACAGGTCAGACGTTTTTCCTTTACACAAGTGCTACTTACTCTTCTTTCATGAATTATGCCTTTGGGATTCTGTCGAAAAAGTCCTTACCATACCCCAAATCAGCTAGGTATTTTCCTAAATTCTTCCGTGGCTTAGTATTTTATGGTTGTGTTTGTGATCTGTTTTCTGTTATTTTTGTCAGTGTCTGGACTAATTTTTACAGTTCGTTTGTTCCGGATTTGTTGGAAAGACTGCCTTTGTTCCTTTGTGTTGTCTTCGCCTTTTCGTCAGAGGTCAGGTGGCTGTTTATGTGGGTCTGGTTTTGAGCTCTGTCTTCTGATTGATTGATCTTCTTGTCATTCTTTCATCATTTCTGCGTAGTGTTGACTGTCGGGGCTTTATCGTAAATTGAAGATGGAGTTTGTTAGTCCCTCCAATTTTATTCTTCTCTTTCAACATTGAGTTGGCTCTTCTGGGTCTTTTGCCTCTTTATGCTTTAAAGTCAGTTTATGAATATTTATAAAATACCTTGATTTTTTGAATTTTTTTTAATTGAACTACACTAACTCTGTGGGTCAACTGGAGGAGAACTTTGTATTATTATTATTATTATATTATTATTAGTGTATCTTTACACTGTTGTCTTTCTTACCTAGGAACATGGGCTGTCTTCATTTTTTTAGCTTCTTTTTGATTTCTTTAATCAGATGAATCTCATATGTAACTTTTTTTTTCAACCCCAGTATTTTATTTTGGGGCTTACTGCAATGGTAGAGTTTTAAATTTCAGATTCCACTTGTTGATTTTTCTAATATTTAGTAAAGTGGTTGGTATTTGTGTATTTGCTTTGAATCTAATTTTATTATAATATTGTTTATCTGTTTTTATAGTACCTTTGTTGATTCTTTTTGGATTTTCTTTTTCTGTTAACTTGTGCTCTCAATGTGATGTTGTTGTTTTATCTTGTTTTACACACTTAAAATAAGAAAAGTAACTGTTGTTTGGTTTCTAATTCAGATCAGTGTAGACATTGTTGGACAGGAACATGGGTTTTGGAGCCAAGTTGCTTGGATTTGAATCCCAGTTTTTCTTCCTACTGATGTGGTGTCTTGGTGCTTCCATGTCCTTTGTGAAATGAAGATGGATGAAGTTCAATAACACAAGCCACAAATTTTGAACAGTAACCTGAGAAGCATTTTAATTGTTAGCTACACTCACACTTTCTGTTGTTGTCTTTCTTTCAGAATTGAGCATTTTGCCAAAATCTATAGCCAAAAAATTGGCATCAAAAAGGAGGTTCTTTTGAAAACCTTGTGGGGAAATTACTATATCAACATGAAGGCTAAGAAGATTATGAAGGCTGACCAGGTAAGGTGGTACTTGTTCTTTCTGGTTTTTGCTCACATTGTTGCCCCATCAACACTGTTACTAAAACACCTGTAGTAAATGTAGTTCAGCTTCACTTCATGTGGCTGAGTCTTAAGGGAGGTTTTTTTTTCTTCTTTTTTTAAACCATTTGTAAGTGGGAAAGGCTTGCAGACCTTACAGAGGAGTATTGTTTACATTGAGAATTGTTAACCCTGCTATTGTTTACCTATTTTTTTAAGAGAACTCAAAATCTTGGAACCTGGACACTTGATGATTGCTATTCCACATTGCATGTTTTGCACCCTTTGCTGTAAGGGGATCACAGGTGGTCTGTGCTGTCATGCTAGCCTCCTTGGGGGCCTCGTCCCTGTGCCCGCTGCTCAGCATGGGATGCCGCTGGGGAGGAGTGGGTACTCCCTGCGGCCCCGTGCTCCCCCGTGAGGGGCGGTTTAGGATGGCTGAGACGTACAGCCCCAGGGGAGACCTGCCTTGAAACTTTAGTGTTTTTTTTCAAGATAAAATTCAGTATATTCTAAGTTTGTTCTTTGTGGAAGATGCTCACACATGTAAAGCCGTGGGAAAGATACAGTCCCTGTTAGTGGTACAGTTTTAGTTTCTTTCCTTCTTTTGGGGTAGATATTCATGCTGCTTAGATAATGCAGCTGCCTCTTTGCCTAATGTTCTATCAGGAGCATCTTCCTTTGCCACCGGAAGCTTTTGATAAACAGTGTTTAAAAGGGAATAGGTATCATTACAGGGGAGAGAGCATGGCTGGAGAGTGAACTCTGAATCACCTCAAAGGCATTGCTGTCATTTCGTGAAGGAGTCCAAGCCAGCTTTGGAGGACTGTCCCTGTGACATTATCTGCACCCTGGTATTACTCAGTTTTATGAGAGTGCCATTGATCTGTAATCACTCTTCTAACATATTGGACATAGTTTTTCTTTCAGATGTTTTCCCATTGTAAGCGAAGTTAGGATGGCTGTCTTTACCCATGAGGTTTTATGTTGTCATGCTGATGACATGACTGAGCCAGGTGTCGAAAGAGAAAGGAGGAGAGACAGAGAGAGATCTTTCATCGGCTTGTTCCCTCCCCAGCTGGCTCCCACAGTGAGGGCTAGAGCAGGCTGAGGCCAAAAACGGGAGCTCAATGCAGGTCTGCAGGGATGATGGGGACCCAGGGGGACCCTACTGCTTTCCCACGCACCTTAGCAGCAAACTGGATCAGAAACAGAGTAGCTAGGAGGCCAGGATTGCACCAGCCCATTTTTCTCCCTAAATTTACATATCCTTGTGAACATTTTTTCATATGCTTAACAACATTCTGTGTTGTCTTCGGCACGCTTCAGGGCCTAGTCCACAGGACTCGCCTGCACATGCAGATTGAGAGTCATTTATTTGATGGTAGTGGTGGAGAACCACGGCTGTCGTCCTTCCAGGAGTCTGTTGTTGTTAAGATCTGTGTATTTTACTTGGAAGAGTTACGGAGAGGAAGAGGTCTTCTGTCCCCTGGTTCACCCCCCGGTGGCTACAATGGCTGGAGCTGGGCTGATTAGAAGCCAGGAACCTGCAACTTCTTCAGGGTCTCCCATGTGGATGCGGGATCCCAAGGCCTAGGACCGTCCTCTGCTGCTTTCCTAGGCCATAAGCCAGGAACTAGATGGGTAGTGGAGCAGCTGGGACAAGAACCAATGCCCAGGTTGATGATTAGTTAGATGTGCCACTGTGCCAGCCCGGGCCTCTTATTTTTAAAGTCATTGGCTCCCTAAAGAAGGGAATTAGAGGTTACTGATTGAATACATGTTTCTGAGTAGAAATAAGTCATCGTGTCAATAAAATGTGAAGAATGAATATGCAACTGCTTTGTGTGTTAAGGGACTTAAGCACATCTATTTTTGTACAGGCCAAAGGGAAGAAGCCTTTGTTTGTACAGTTGATCCTGGAAAATATATGGAGCTTGTATGATGCTGTCTTGAAAAAGTAAGGCCGTTGTAGAATTGTTTCTCTTTGGGCAGTGTCGTTTGCCTCCCTGTGCACGTTGATGAGACACGCTTTAGACAGACAAGAGGAGCAGAGCCCTTCCCGATGAGCTGATTACGGAACCCAGACCCGTGTGCAGGAGGAGGGCCAGAGGTGCTGGGGTAAAAGGGTGAAAGGGGGAGAGAGGCTGGACCTTCGCCCGAATCACAGGCTCAGTTCAAAACCAGCATTTGTAGGAGACACAAGGCTTGCCATCTAGGATCACGAGCGGGTTGCTGGGGAAATAATTTGCCCGTTCCAATAGGAAAGAAAGCTTGCTTTGGTCAGCTTGCCTTCTCAGTTATTCCAGCAGTGCAGATGACTTCCACCCCAGTCGGCACCCTTGCTGAAGGAGCTGGTTGAATGGTGCTCCCGGCAGGTCTTTAGCAAGGGCTCCTTGCGGGCACAGCTTGAGGAGCGCTCTGCTGCGACGGGATCTTCAGTCATTTTCAGCATTTGGGGGGAAAAAAAAATAGTACCGTAGGGAAAAATGTGTCCAACAGTGTTGTTTTCTCCCATACTCACTCATATCTGTATGCCTTCTTTCCCCCTCCAACCTTGTGCTTCCTGTAGAGACAAAGAAAAAATTGATAAAATAGTGACTTCTTTAGGATTAAAAATCGGCGCACGAGAGGCACGACATTCCGATCCTAAAGTCCAGATCAACGCCATCTGCAGCCAGTGGCTTCCCATATCTCACGCTGTTCTCGGTATCCTTTGCCGTGGTGGCCTTTGATGGGACAACAGAGAGCACAGTGGTCACCACCAGGGAGTCCCCTGGGGACGAAAACTCCCTCTCCAAATACATCTGCAGTGCTTAATTGTTGTTCTACCATCAAACCGTCTTCAGTGCGTAAGCGCTTACAGTATCAGTTTGATAAGAGTTAATGCTAGATCTAAGAATATTCTTTTTATTTTTATACTTTTTTTTTTAAGGTTTATTTGTTTTTATTGGAAAGCTAGATCCGATTTACAGAGAAAGAGAGAAAGATCTTCCATCTGCTGGCTCACTCCCCAGATGGCTGCAGTGGCTGAAGCTGAGCTGATCCGAAGCCAGGGGCCAGGAGCTTCTTTCCGGGTCTCCCACGCAGGTGCAGGGTCCCAAGGCTTTGGGCCGTCCTCTGCTGCTTTCCCAGGCCACAAGCAGGGAGCTGGATGGGAAATGGAGCACCTAGGATGTGAACCAGTGCACATATGGGATACAGGCAATTGATTGTAGAGGATTAACCAATGGAGCCATGGAACTAGCCCCAAGAATGTGCTTTTAGAAAGACTTTTAGTTTAGTAATCCGTCAAAACGTACAGGGTCACACTTCTACACAAGCAGCTAATTTTGTTGTTTGTGTTAGATCACTGTTTCGTTTTAGGGGCACGGATCTCGAATTTGCTGAACCCCCTGGTCTGCTTTTGTCCTGATGTTCTTGTCAGCTGGATCCTGGCTGCTCTTTAGGAAGTAGAAGAACTCCCTGGAATTGTGCTTGAAGATGCATTGCATAAAATAAGATTGCTTCGCAGCATGGGCATTTTCTGTATAGATGTACATTGATGCCCAAGAATTTCCTAGTGTTTAGAATGTTTCTCATTTGCTTGAAGAGGCAGAGAGAAATGGAGATCTAGACAGAGAAATCGGATTTCTCCCCCAAATGCCTCTCAGTGGCAGTGACCGGGACTCCGTTCCTCGAGCCATCACCTGCTGCCTGCCAGGGTGCACATTACCAGGACGTGGAAGGGGGAGTTAGGACAGGGCCCAAACCCAGGTGGCCCTGGTGACCTGGTGGGCTTTTGAGTGCCTACCCGAACGCCTGTCCCGGTCCTTGGCATGTGTACACGGAACCGTCATTTTGGTGGCGGGCTGCAGTTCAAGGTTTTGAGTCCTTAACATCAGACATCAGCTATGGTGTGTCAGAAGCTTCCTAGTCCTCTTGACATCTCGGCCGAGAGAGTGGAGAAGCTGATGTGTGCAGGATCACAGACGTTTGAGTCTCTGCCGCCGGAAACGCAAGCGCTGAAAGCAGGTGAGGCGTGCACGCACACGTCGGGGTTCAACGTGCACGCACACGGCGGGGTTCAGCGTGCACGCACACGTCGGGGTTCAGCGTCGCTATCCCCAATGCTGCATACAGTTTGATTGTTGCTGCATCCATTTTGCCCAGCCACTGGGGTGGGAGCTCCAAGGCTCTGCGTGTCCTTCCCGCTGCCCTGTTCTCACTTCATGACTGTGTGCTCTGCCCCCCTGAGCCGCCCTGTCCCCACCAGAACTGTGTCATTGAGAGCATGGGACAGCGTTACAGAGGCTGTGCTGCACACAGAAGCCTGAGCGTTCTCCCTGGCAGAGGGGAGCTCCCCTTCTGGGTTCTAGGCTCTGCAAAACTCACCTGCTTGCATTTGCATTCTCTGGTTTTATTCCTCCTACCCTCATGGAATAATTTGTAGCACTTGGCCCCCCAAAACCACTTTCCTGCTGTTCTCAGGCTCACTGTAGTACACTTTATAATTGTGGCAGCTCTTAATCCTTATTTGACTGGGAGTGTGCCAGGTGGTCACTCCTAACTCCTAGGAAGACTCATTTCTCAGTCTCCCACATGCTTCCTCTCTTCTCCCTGCCTGCTTCTTCTGTCTCTTCTTTCGTTTCCGCCCTTTCTCCCTGCTTCTGCCTTCAGCCTGTCCCAGGGCAGGCTCAGCCTTTGGCCCTCCTTTTCCCGATGATCTGCAGGCAGGCCCCTCTCAAGTCTTCTCCAATCTCAAGGCTTTTGAGTGACAGCTGTCTCTAGACCTCACTGATTTCTGAACTCCACACTCCGTCCGGTTTGCGTCTCTCCACGCAGCCGTCCCCACAGCCTTCTGCCTGACGGAGCATCTGGTCTTAACCTGCTGCTGTCATTCGCATTGCAGCCGCCTCCATGCAGTGATTTGCTCGGGTCGGGGACCTTGGAGTCATTTGTGGCTGTTGTTCATCTCCCGTCCCTGCACCTGGTTCATCTACTAGCTCTGTTTATTCTTTGAAATACATTCCTAACTCGCCTATTTCCCAGCATTCCCTGTCTTGCTGTCTGGCCCAACCAGCCAGCGTCTCCCGCCTGGGTACTGTAAGTGTCCCCACTGGTGGCCCTGCCACCACTTCATTTCCCTTTTGTGTCTTCCCACCCCTGCGGCCAGGAGACACTTTTGTAATTGAGTCAGGGTGTTTCACTTTGTTCCTCCAGACCTTCCAGAGGCTTCCCGGGCTTACTAAGCAGTGAGTGGAAACCTCCAGTGTATGTTAAGCAAAATATTGATGTGCTGATGTGAAATCATGGCAATAAATTGTGAATATGAAATACAGGAGAATTAACTTTTTGTAATACAGAATATTTTTTTAAATAGTTTTTTTTTCTTAAATTGGAAAGTCAGATATACAGAGAGGAGGAGAGATAGAAAGATCTTCCATCTATTGATTCGCTCTCCAAGCAGCTGCAGAGGCCAGAGCTGAGCCTGACCGAAGTCAAGAGCCCAGGGCCTGCTCCGGGTCTCCCACATGGGTGCTTTCAGGCCGTCCTCGACTGCTTTCCCAGGCCACAGGTGGGGAGCTGGATGGGAAGCAGGGCTGCCAGGACTAGAATCGGCCCCCCTATGGGATCCTGGCACCTTCAAAGCGAGGACTTTAGCTGCTAGGCTACCGTGCTGGGCCTTTTAAAATAGTTTTTGATGAATGTGCTGTGCTTGTGCTTATGTCGGGTCCGGCATAGTATTTTATCACCTGTGTTCAGCATACGTGGTTAAATCAGGCAACTCGCTTTTCCATTTTCTTATTTTTCTGTAGTGCTTAATTAATTTGTGAGAACTTCTATTACTATCAGGATACAGTATTTTTGGCTTTTATTAATCTGAAAGTTTTGTTATGTATGTGGGATTAGAAGAGCTGTTGGTTTTTATTAACAAACTACTTGGTTAGCTGTTGGCTTTTGCTGACTCCTTCTGCCCCTTCACTGGATAGCAGGGCTTGTCGCGAGTGCTGAACCCTGATCCATAGCTGTGCTTCTGGTGCAGGAGCCCCTGTCCCCCGCCCCGTCCCCACTGTTCCCCTCCCGTCCCCTCATCTCCCTGTTCCTCTCCCATCCCCCGCTCCCCTCCCATCCCGGGTACCTCTCCCATCCCCCCCATCCCCCTGTTCTCCTCCCCGTCCCCCCGTCCTGTCAGTTTTGCTCTTGTTCCTTATTTCTGATAACTCAGCTTGCTCTGGACTCTGCCTTTCTTTCCTAGCAGTTTTATGCTTTTCTAATTGGAGCTTTTATCATAACTTTAAAAGATTTATTATTTTTTTTAGATTAGAAAGTCAGATTTACAGAGAGAAGAGACAGAAAGATCTTTCGTCCGCTAATTCGCTCCCCAAATGGCTGCAACGGCTAGAGCTGAACTGATCCAAAGCCATGAGCCAGGAGCTTCTACTGGGTCTCCCACATGGATTCAGGGTCCCATCCTAGACTGTCAGCCCAGGCCATAAACAGGGACCTGGATGGGAAGCCGGGACACAAATCAGTGCCCATATGGGATCCTAGCACATGGAAGATGAGAACTTTGGCCACTTGGCTACCGTACTGGGCCCTTATGTTAAATCCCTTTAATAGAGTTAGCTATTGGGGGTTGGGATTACTATTTACTTCTGGCTGCAGTGTAGTTCAGTAAACTCATTTCTTCATTAAAAAAAAATGCATAGACTTTTAATGGACTGAGATGGTGCTATCTATCAGAATTGCTTTCCAGAAATATGTTTTGTTTTATTTTGTTGTGTTTTAATACTGAAAGCAGTGGTGACATTTTAAATTCCTGTTTGTTCAGCTTTTATGCAGTGTGGAAGTGAGGACGATGCTCCGGTGATTATCTTTGTTTCCAAAATGTTTGCAGTTGATGCTAAGGCCCTGCCGCAGAACAAACCGAGGTGAGGCGAGGGGAGCCGGGGGCTGGCCGGCGGGGATGGGGGCGTGGTGGTCGGCTTGTGGCGGGGTGGCACGGGCAATGCCGTCCCTCTTGGTTCCACAGTCGCCATCGAGCCACCCCGAGGGGTTGCGCAGTGGTGTGTGCCTGTCACGTGACGCCTTTGCTAAGATCGTCGGAGTCAGCTGGGGGTGTTGACGTGAGCTGAGGGTAATTGGAAGAGTGGTAGCGGTAGTCATCGCGGCAGTCAGCATTCATGGAATGAGCATGCGTGCTAGACTAAGCCTCTGTCTCCCTCCTAGGAGAAGGTGTGTGTGTGTGTGTGAGAGAGAGAGAGTTGACTGAGGCCTTGGAGATCACTGGCCTGTGAAATAACCCTGACCCATCTTAGTGGATTTCTGGCCCAGCCTGATCTGACACCCAGATCACTTTCCAACTGGATGATTTTTTTTTTCCCCCTCTGTTTTTCTGGTATTCCGCATTGTTACCTAAACTAACCCAGATCTTTCATTGCGCATTCCTTCTTCTTGGAAGGTTTTTTTTTTTTTCTTCCAGTGATGATTGGACATAGAAAGCTTCAATAACTTTTTATCTTGAGGTTCGGTGAAAAAAGGCGTCGATGAAACATGAATGAACGAGTGTGTGAGTGAAGGAATGTATAGGTCAGTGAATTAGGGGATGGTGGCATAAGCGAATGAGTAGTTCAATGTGGGACTGTGTATGTGGACTCCTCCCAGCTGATGTCCCAGTGCTGTGTGTAGCAGAGACTTATCAATGTTTTGGGAGATTAGATGGTTTCCACTCCTGGAAGTATTTTTAAGATTCTAGTAGAATCCTATGAAATATTACAGAATTTGGAGATTTGATTCTTGGGATCCTGATGTATATGCTCGGACCATTACAATTCCCACATACCTCTCTTTATTTTCTTGCTGAAGAATGGGAATGTTGTATTACATACTGTGGCATTTGTGTAGCATTTTTCTTCAAGATGTACTATTTGCTTTCCTAGCTTTAGTATATTTTTGGTAGTACAATTAACCATTCCATTGGGTTGTTTTTTTATTTTATTTTGCTCCTTTATTCAACCAGTTTCAGGCTTAGTGGTTGTTCTGTGATAATATATATCTTGGTTATATTCATTTCCTGGCTAATAATATTTTTAACACAAATTTTGATCTTTTTAGAATTGGGAGAGAGAGGCCACTGAGAGTTAGTTTGATGGCATTCTTATCTCTACTGTTTGAATTTATCGTAGCGAGAACTGCGGAATAGCATTTTCCTTTAGGATTGGCTAAAGAAAGATGGGGAAAGGGTCCTCATGAAAGCTTCAAGATTTTTCCTTGGCTTAATGTAAAGACTGTCCATTTTTGTTGTAAAAAGGTTGTGTAGAATGGGGGAATCAGTCTTTCTTATGTGTTCCTGTGTTCTGGCCCATTTTCCATGCACTCCCGTGTCCTACTGGCCTGTTTCTCATATGTTCCCGTGTTCTCCTGGCCTATTATTTCATGTGTTCCCATGTTCTGCTGGCCTAGTCCCTGCATGTTCCTGTGTTCTCCTGGCCTGGTTCACACTGAGCGTAACACTCAGGGGCGGCTACAATTTATTATCCTGTAATATCCGCTTGTCTCACCACGGGTTGTGCCACCGCATTCACAGGTTCTGCCATGGGAAGATTTCACGTTGCAGTTTGACTTGTGAGAAAGCAGGCGAGCTTAGAGTGAAACAAGCCATGAGCTAGTGGCCAACCAGGCTGCCTGCCCCTTTCTCTAACAGGAGCCTTTGCATTTGCCATTCCGGACCCGAGTTTATCAGGCCAGGTCGTTGAAACATCCCCTGGTTGTTGGAAGTGGCGTTGTGTCACGGGCGGTTTCCAGGCCATCCGCCTGCTCCTCTGCCCTGAGGCTTGTGCTTATTTTAGAAATCAACTTGTAATAACATGACACGGGTCTTCAAATGCATGCCACTGTTTCATTGCCTGCTTCCCATCACCTCAGCGACCTGGGGGTGTGCTTAGCTGTGCTGCCCACTGCAGCCAGCCCCTCCAGCAGCCCTCTCCCCAACACTGTTCTGCCCCGATGAGCTTCAGGGGTCAGTGCGTGACCGTTCTCCAGGGACCTCTGTCGGCATGCTTTTAAATTCCTCCCTCATCCTTTCTCTCAAATTCGTCTCCCAACCTGACATTGTTCTTTAATTTTTTTTTTTTAATTGGAAAGACACAGGAAAAGATAAAGATGTATTCCATTTGGTGGCTTACTTCCCAAATTCCTGGGGCAAGTAGTTGTACGGCAGGCCAAAACATGGAGTCAGGAAGTCTGTGGTGGGGTACATGGGTGATAGCACCCAGGTATGTGAGCAGACACCTGCTGTCTCCCGTGTTGTGCCTTAATGAGAAACTGGCTCGGAAACGGAGGCAAAACTTGAACTGGGATATGCCAGTGTCGGACGTGGGCGTCCCAAGCGGCTGCCTACGCTGTGCCGTGTCCCCTCCCCCAGCTTGGCATCTGAATCTCTGGTTAATACTCTTCCTGTCTTCTGCATTTCTGGCATTTAATGACTAGTGTCCCTTCAGGAGGTATCATCTCTGGTTAAGTTGTAACCTAAATGACATATAGCCTCTATTTTCTTATAAATAAATTCTTATTATTATCAATCCCTGGATACCCAGTGGATATCTCACATACTTTTTTTTAAAAGATTTATTTATTTTTATCAGAAAGTCAGATATACAGAGAGGAGAGACAGAGAGGAAGATCCTCCATCCACTGCTTCATTCTCCAGGTAGCCGCAATGGCTGAAGCTGTGCTGATCCGAAGCCAGGAGCTTCTTCCTGGTCTCCCACGCGGGTGCAGGGTCCCAAGGCTTTGGACTGTCCTCGACTGCTTTCCCAGACCACAAGCAGGGAGCTGAATGGGAAGCGGGGCTGTCAGGATTAGAACTGGTGCCCAGATGGGATCCCGGCATATGCAAGATGAGAACTTTAGCCACTAGGCCACCGTGGCAGGCCCTATTTCACATCATGCTGACTTCCCTTCTGTTTGCCTTGTGGCCACCACTCCCACCCTCAGTGCCCACGTGTTAGCTAGGTGGATAAATCCTCAGATGGGCAGCAGGCATCCATCCAGGAACACTGACTTGGTGACTATAAATGCCAGTTTATCTCGGATCATGTCAGAACTTAGGCAGAAGAGGCTGTAATATATGAGGTGAATAGGTGGGCTTTTCTTCTAAGCCAGACTAAAATGCAGTCACATTTAGTTAAGATCATTTGATCATTTTAATTCTTTATGATTGAAGACATAGCTTGGTGATGCTGAAGAGTTTGGAGCCAGATAAATGTGGGGGTTTTTTTTTTGTTTTTTGTTTTGTTTAAAGATTTATTTTATTTTTATTGGAAAGGTGAATATACAGAGAGGAGAGACAGAGAGGAAGATCTTCCACCCAATGATTCACTCCCCAAGTGAGCGCAACAGCTGATGCTATGCCGATGCGAAGCCAGGATCCAGGAACTTCTTCCTGGTATCCCACATGAGTGCAGGGTCCCAAGGCTTTGGGCTGTCCTCGACTTCTTTCCCGGGCCACAGGCAGGGAGCTGGAAGGGAAGTGGGGCTGCCGGGATTAGAACTGGCGCCCATATGGGATCCCGGGCGTGCAAGGCGGGGACCCTAACCACTGCGCCATCGCGCTGGGCCCAGATAAATGTGTTTTTGAAATATGACCCTTTCCCTTAATATATGCGTGACTTTGGGTCAGGTTACTTCCGTCTTCCAGGGGTCCATTTTTTCATGCAAAACAAGAGGGTTAAATTTGCTTGATTTAATTGTTGCGATGAAAGTGTGCTGGTACACGTGCAGTGTGGCTAAGCCATGGGCTGGATCACGGTGGTAAGCCCGCTGGAAGGCTCGCTCCCTCCCCAGCTGCACAGGTGCCTCTGTGTTTCATCCTCATTATTTTAATGTCTCCGTGCTCTTGGCTTACATTTTACCACATAGATGTCCGGTAACACATGCTTCCTGATACTCTGGCATCCAGGGAAGTTGCATAGGGCTTGGATGGAGGCGCTGCTGGAATGTTGCCCATGGGGAAGGAAAGAAGGGGAAGGACAAGAGGGCAAAGGACAACGTGGGAAGTGGCGAGGAGGAGACAGAGGACAGAGCGGCGACCACGCAGGCAACTGGGAGAACGGAGTTCGTCCTGTGTTTGCTTTACTTTTCCTTGTTTATTTATTTTGAAAGATTTTTTTAGAATGTAGTTGAAAGGCAGAGTTAGGCAAAGAGAGAGCTTTTCCTTCCATTGGTTCACTCCCCAAATGGCTGCATTGGCCAGGGCTGGGTCAGGCCAAAGCCTGGAGCTTCATCTAAGAGTCCCTCATGGATGACAGGACTGCAAGCCCTTGGTCCACCTTCCCTAGCTTCTCCTTTCTTATAAGCAGTGAGCTGTATTGGAAATGGAACAGCCAGGACTCTCACCAGTGCCGCTGTGGGATGCCCACGTTGCAGGTGGAGGCTTAACTAGTGTACAAGGCTGGCCCCTCTTATATTTGAGAGGCCTGCTCACCTCCCGAGCAATCCCATTGAAGAGGCTCCTCCATTGGCAGCAGTTTTGTTTGCCTAATGCCACGGCCCTCACTCAACCAGTCTCAAGGATTGATTGGCACAGTCCTTTTCCCTGTAGGGCCAGTTCATTCCTGCTGAGGAGTAGATACCAGGGAAGGCAGAATCAGTGCCCAGTTCTGGTTAGAAGTCTTGTTTAACAGGTGAGGGTCCACAGGGGACACTCAGGGATTCATACAGCACTTTCCAGGCTAGCTCATGCAAGGTAAAACATCAGAAGGGTTTTGGGCATCGTGACAGCAGGAGCTCAAAGAGTTTGTGACCCTGTACAACACCTGCAGGATAGCTGTGTGTGTGACCACTGGTGTGCGCGACAGAAGAGGGGCAGGTGGCACAATGGGAGTGCCAGGTGAGGCTGCCAGGCAATGCTGAGGCAGACGGGAGTGACGTGGGAATCAGGACGTTCAAGGGGAGGGAGGCGACGAGTGTCAGACCCAGGTTGAATTGAGCAGCTTCTAAAGCGGGGCCAGAGTAGAGTGGGTGTCTTGATGCTGTGTTCCACTGTGTGGGGTAGAGGTTCTGAAATTGTACAGCTGTGAAGGCAGGGCTTGGTGTAGCTCTCACATGAGGGCTCAGCATGGCGGGGTGTTCACATGGAGCCCGACTTTGGGTAGGAGCCCCCTCCTGGCAGTTGGTCTCCCTGGCTGAGCCTTGCCTTCTAAACACCAGCTACCAATCAGAATGCCCATTTTTATTCCACTTAGTGCCCCTATGCCATAAAGACCTTTGCATTTTGCAGGGCCTTCCCTGTGGGCCTGCAACTGTTGGGGAGCAGCAGCCTGGTGCCTCTGCTCTTGCACGGGCTGGCTCCCAGCTCACGTCTGCACATCCCACGATGCCTCTTCTGGCGTGGTGCTTCTTTTTTTTTTTATTTTTTTAAAGATTTATTTTTATTATTTTTTTTATTATTATTATTGGAAAGGTGGATATACAGAGAGGAGAGACAGAGAGGAAGATCTTCGTCCGATGATTCACTCCCCAAGTGAGCGCAACGGCCGATGCTATGCCGATCCGAAGCCAGGAGCCTCTTGCAGGTCTCCCACGCAGGTGCAGGGTCCCAAAACTTTGGGCCATCCTCGACTGCCTTCCCGGGCCACAGGCAGGGAGCTGGAAGGGAAGCAGGGCGCCCATATGGGATCCCGGGCATGCAAGGCGAGGACCTTAACCACTGCGCCACCACGCCGGGCCCCGCGTGGTGCTTCTTGGACCTAACACGGCAGTTGGTGATTTACCTTTGACCTTTGAGTCCTGCTGAATTGCCTGCCAGTCTTTGGCCTGACCCTCAGTCCTTGACATGAGCCCATTTTCCATGAAGATCGGGTTTCCAACTTGGGGAGTAAACCTCAGTGCTTCACTGTGTGCCGGGGCATGGGTTGGCAGAGCTGGGGGATGGGGAGGTGGTGGCGGCGTGCTGAGCCTGGATCTGCTTTCATTTCCTTTCATCTCCTGCATCTGTGCCTCTTCCCTGAGGAAGGTGGATGCTGCAGGTGCCATGCTGTTAGGCACAGCCTCCCTTGCCAACATGGGCAACAGTTCTTCAGCTCAGAGTGGCTGGCCACCCGGCACAGCAGAGCGCACTTCCCAGGCCCTTCCTGCTCCTGTTGTCATGGGGGAGAGAGCCTGGAGAAGCCTTCCACCTGGTTAGGAGGTGGGGTTGATCACTTCCTCCAACCACATCGCTGTTTGCTGTTGGCCGCATGAGCCATCTGGAGAAGGTGGATGTTAGCAGATGGTAACATGTTTGCAATATCCCGTAGGCCACTTACCCAAGAAGAAATCGCTCAGAGACGTGAGCGGGCAAGACGAAGACATGCGGAGAAGCTTGCAGCTGCCCAGGGCCAGGTGAACTTGGAGCCCAAGCAAGATGGGAGTGTCCCCGACAGCGACACAAGCCCGAGGGCAGAGGAGCCAGAAGGTGCGGCTTTCCTCGACAGCTTTGGGAGCAGAATGTTTCATTCTGCTGCAGTTAGCTGTAGCTCATAGTTGTTAGCGTTAACGCTTTTGCCATCTTTGCTGTCCTGTTACTTAAACTGGGCCAAACGTACTGTATTGGCTGACCACTGTGTTTCAGGCATTTCCTCATTTGAAGAGAGCATTCTAGACACTTTCCTTTGTTTTTGGCAGGTGATGAGCAGCAGGCAGAAAGCTTGACCCCTACGCCAGGGCCCCAGGAAGAAAACAACCAGGAGTGTTTCATTGCATTTGCACGAGTGTTCAGTGGCGTAGCTCGAAGAGGAAAGAAAATGTTTGTCCTGGGGCCTAAATACAGTCCTGTTGAGTTTTTGCGACGGGTAAGAATTGGAAGTCAAGCGTGAGTGTCTTGCTTCAAGGGCCCTGGCTGGGGTTGATGATGGCCCTGTTGGTAAATGGTAGGAAGGCACATTTCAATCAAACCCCCGAGTCTCCTGATGCGCTGCTTTGGTGCCATGTGCCACTCCTGTCTCACTTGGCAGAATTTAGGGAAACCAAACCAATATGTGACCGACCTCTTTCACTCTGAAAGTTCTTGTGAAATGAGATCTCCCCAAGGGGAGCTGCCATGCTGGGCGTGCAGCTGTAGTGGAATTGTCCTTGCTGTAATAGAATAGTCCCATCCCAACACCCCAGCGATGCTTACCGGTTCCACTGGTTCCACATTTTCACCAAATTTCAGTATTCTGGGCTTAAAATTTTTAACAATTTGATGGCTACGATTTGTGACCTTACAATTGCTTAAACTTATATTTTCATCCGCTCTCAGGTGTGTGTGCTGGTCAATATCAGGGCAGTGGCACATCTTCAAGGAATATGGAGACCCAGAAAGTAGATGGCTCCTGCCAGAGGTGTTGGCTTGCGAGCAGGTGGCAGGTGCTACAGATCTGGTCAGGCGCATCTGTAAACAACTCCACAAGCCAGCTTCTATGCTGCTGGATCCGAAAGGCAGAAAGGGGTTCAGAACTAGAGCTGTTGTAGAACATTGCTGGAAGTCAGCAAGACACATATTTTATAACCAAACAGTAAAGGTCACAGGGTGACAGTGTGTGGTCAGCAAAAGGCACTAGTTACGAACTCGTCCATTGGCAGTGTGAAGCCCTGAGCAGGAAAGCAGGTGCTCTTGTCGGTGCAGGAAGCGGGCCTGTCTGCAGGTGCACCAGGCAAGCTGCCGTTCTTGGCTGCCAGTGAGAGGCTGGTGGGTGGCACCTGAGAAAAATCTCTGCCCTCAGTTTTTCCTGACCTTGGGTGCTTACTGCATCCGTTTTAGGAATGTAATCCTCAGAGACTGCGGTGCCCATGGTGGTTACGCGGTCCTTGCCGGGCTGTGATAGGTTCTGGCTTAGCAAGCAGCAGAGCACTTGATGTGTGGAAGGTTATATTTTAGGGGAAGTTGGCAGTAACTGTAATAACATGTAACAAGAACATGTCTTAGCGTCTTGGGCTTGGGCATCCGTGATGGCCTCTGCCGCCATTACTTTTTCCTTTAGTTGCTAAACTCAGCAGGTGAGTCAGCGATGTCATGAGGCATTCTCGGGCCTTCCAGATTCCTTGGACATTCTTGTGCATCTTCCATGCGTTGTCCCTCTCTGCTTTGGGCAGGCCACAGGTGGAGGCCTCGTGGCTGGCTCCGGTGTCAGCTGCCTGAAGCAGGAACGTTACAGTACATCCACAGCATAAATGACCCCTTTTGATGGGCCACACCCCTGAAAGCCGATTGCAGCTTCCTTTTTAAAAAACGAAACAAAAACAACAACCATGTGCTATTTCCAACCTATCCCGAAAGTAATTCCTCTCTAGATTTGTGTTTGTGTTTGATGACTGCACATCCCAACAAGTTTGTTAATAGGAAACAACACGTGTTTTGTCATCTTGTAGTTTTCGCTATGCGTGCATTTCTGGAGAATCTCTTGTTACATTTGCATATTTTAGGATTCCGTGTAAATCAAGTCTTACCACGGTTATTCTGCACCTGTTCCTGCCATGGGTTTATTGTTCACGGCGTCGTAGTATTCCATCACAGCAGTGTGCACTTTGCGTATCGGTGTTCCTGTTGCTGTAAATTTGGGCTGGTTTCAGGGTTTATGTAAACAGTGCCACCTCGAATATTTGTGTACATCTCTCCTTGTGCGCATCCGCAGTCAGTTCACGGAAGTCATGTTTGTGCGCTCAAGTGCCTGCCTCTCCTTAAAGGAATATTTCCCAGTTATCTTCCTCAGTGTCCTCCCAGCAGAAGTGCTCCATGGCTGCTTTATTCCACATTTCTACCAGAGTTTGCTATCGTGAGGCTTTTAATTTTTGCCCACCAGATAAGTATCCTGTTGTGTCTTGTAGCCAGTTTCATTTACTTTTCCTCTGTTACACCGTTAAGGCATATATTACTCAATCTTGTTTTCTCCTGTCAAAATATATCTTTGGGTCATTTCTGTTTTTTATTGTGCAAATTAAAAAAAAGTTAAAATGCTGGTTTTTTTTTTTTTTTTTTTAGACATTTTGTATCTTCTGGATACTGGTTTTTTGTTTTGTTTTTTTGCTCGTATCAACCACTGGTCTTCATTTTTTATTTTAAATAAATTTATATTTATTTTTATTGGAAAGGCAGATATACAGAGAGGCTGAGAAACAGAGAGGAAGATCTTTTGTCTGATGATTCACTCCCCAAGTGGCCATAATGGCCAGAGTTGCACTGATACAAAGCCAGGAGCTAGGAGCTTCTTCTTGGTCTCCCACTTGGGTACAGAGTCCCAAGGCCTTAGACTGTCCTCGACTGCTTTCCCAGGCCACAAGCAGGGAGCTGGATGGCAAGTGGAGCTGCCAGGATTAGAACTGGTGCCCATATGGGATCCTGGCATGTGCAAGGCAAAGACCTTAGCTGCTAGGCCGCAGCGTCGTGCCCATGGTCTTCATTTTGTATTTTGCATCCTATAACGGACAAGGATTGCTCATTTTAATTTAGCATAATTCAATCTCTTATGGCTTTTACTCTGCATCTTGTTTAGGAAGACTGAAATTGGGACTTTCCTAAAGAGCCTGCTTGTGCTTCCACAGCTTGACGTTTTTGCCTGTCATGTTTCCAGGGGTTATACAGTGTTTGTAAAGCCCCGTTTCGTTTTGCTTACCCATGCAGGTAAGTAATTGTTGCAGCATCTCTGATACCTTGCTCTTTCCCCACGGATCTGCTTTGTTCTCTGTCCTAACTCACATGGCACATGTGCCGGAGTCGTTCTGGCCTGTCCAACTTCCTTCTTGGCTCAGCGTCTGCCCAGTGCCATTGGCATCCCTAAAGCCTTGCTTTCTTGCCTGGGTGTCCCGCTGGTTCTCAGTTCTGCTCCTCTTTGGAAGGTTCACAGTCAGCCTGTCGGGTTCCGTGGACAGCCCCACTGCGAGTTGGGTTGGAATCCCATTAAACCAGTACATCCGAGTGGCAGGAATCAGTAGTTTGCAAACAGCATTTAAAAAAAAAAAATCCCGGAATGTATTTGGTGTATCTTTCCATGTTGAATTTACTTTTATTATTCTGGTTCATGTTGTAGTTTTCTTCATCAAGATCGTCAGTTAGTCTTGTTGGACTCAGTGTTAGGTATCCTGGAGTTTGTTGCCACTCTAAAATGTTAACTGTTTTAAAACTGTAACTGTTTTGAAAGCTGTTTTTTTCATATATTATTTGTTGCTGATCTGTAGAGGCACAATTAACTAGTGTATATTAATCTTGCATTCTTACTCCCTTGCTAAATGATTTTTCTGTAGTGTGTCTAAATGAACAGTCATATTGTCCGTGGGTAATTCTCTTTCTTTCTGTGTAATGCTCGTGGGTTTTTTTCTTTTTTTCCCCTTTTCCTCCATTTTATCATTATTGTTAATACTATTTTTTGACACAGATCCATAGACTCTGGAATTTTCCTTATCTTTCCCCCCAAATCTCCTCACCCCCACACACTTAGTTGTACTATAGTACAATTCTTCATAAACAGTTGTAAGTCCATCACTGTGGACATGGACAGTGGCAGAGAGTCCATCCTGTTGTCAAGATGTAGTTAACGGTTTTATTGGTAGTCTGTCTTTGATCCGGAAATGCAGAGATGTGTACTGCACTGTATCCTCACATCTGGCTGTGACAGTCTCTGTTACACAGTTACTATACATCCCCTTAAGTGAAAAGCCACAAGACAAAGTCAACAACAGGAAGAAAAATAGAAATTTACACTGCCATGAGGTTAAATGACAAGCTACTTAATGACTAATGTGTCGCTGAAGAAATGAAAAAGAAAATCAAGAACCCTCTTGAAGAAAATGATGCTACTGTATGACATATGAGTCAGTGAAGAATTTGAGAAAAAAATGAAAATAAAAACAAAAATTTCAAATTCTTGAGATATAGTTTCCACTGATCTTTGTTGGTGAAATGTGTCTCCTGTAGGCAGCAGATAGATGGATTTTGTTTTTTAATCCACTCTGCTATTCTATGATGTTTGATTGATGAGTTTAAGCCATTTACATTCAGGGTTAATACGAATGGGTGGTAATTTGGTCCTGTTATTTCAGCAACGGGATTTTAATTTTTGTATTTAGTCTTCTGTTGTCATTTTACTGGGATGTTCTTCACGTTTGCCTTTGGTTTTGGTGGATGCTACTCTTTTTCTCTGTCAAGAGAACATCTTGAAGTATCATTTGTAGGGCAGGTCTGAAGGAGGCATGTTCTTTGAACTTTACTGTGTAAGAATTTTATTTCATTTTCAAAGACAAAGGAAAGTTTTCTGGGTACATTATTCTGGGCCGACAATTTTTTGCTTTTAGAATGTGGAATATGTTGCTCCATTCTCTTCTTGGCTATAGAGTCTTCTGTGAGAAGTCTCCTGTGAGTTTAGTTGACATTCCTTTATGTGTCAATTGATTTTTTTCATGTGCACATTTAAGGATCTTTTCTTTGCATTTCATTGAAGAGAGCTTGATTGTCATGTGTCATGGTGAAGATCGCTTTTGGTCAAGCCTGTTGGGAGTTCTGTACCTCTTCCTTTCTCCAGATTAGGAAAGTTTTCCTTTATTATTTCATTGAATGCACTTTATAAAAGATTTGTTTATTTTTATTAGAAAGTCAGATATATAAATAGGAGTGAAGACAGAGAAGAAGATCTTCCACCCAGTGATTCACTCGTCAAGTGGCTGCAGCAGCCAGAGCTGAGCTGATCTGAAGTCGGGAGCCCAGAGCCTCTTCCTGATCTCCCATGCAGGCGCAGGGTCCCAAGGCTTTGGGCTATCCTCGACTGCTTTCCCAGGCCACAAGCAGAGAGCTGGATGGGAAGTGGGGTACAGGGACACAAACTAACGCCTATATGGGATCCCGGAGTATGCAAGGCAAGGACTTTAGCTGCTAGGCTACTGCTCTGGGCTGTCACTGAATATATTATTAAACCTGGCTTCTCTTTCTGCACCTTTTGGAACTCCTATAACTCTTATATTTAGCCTTTTTTTTTAAAAAAAAGATTTATTTTATTTTTATTGGAAAGGCGGATATACAGAGAGGAGAGACAGAGAGGAAGATCTTCCGTCCGATGATTCGCTCCCCAAGTGAGTGCAACGGTCGGTGCTATGCCGATCCAAAGCCAGGAGCCTCTTGCGGGTGTCCCACGCAGGTGCAGGGTCCCAAAGCTTTGGGCCATCCTCGACTGCTTTCCCGGGCCACAGGCAGGGAGCTGGAAGGGAAGAGGGGCCGCCGGGATTAGAACTGGCGCCCGTATGGGATCCCGGGCGTGCAAGGTGAGGACCTTAACCACTTGCGCCACCACACCGGGCCCTATTTGGCCTTTTAATAGTGACTTTCCACTGAAGTTTTAATTTGCTCCATTGTGTCCTTCATTTGTAATAATCCGACCTAATTGTGTTTCAGTGTTGTTGTTTCCTGTGTGGCATGTTCCTTAAATTCCCACATGTGCTTCTCTTTGATAAGAAGCTTTAAAACAAGCATTTTGAATTCTTTATCTCCCATTTTCTTGATGTATTCCTCAGTTTACTCTGAGGTTGGCAAAGGCTTTTGCTCCTTTGCAGGGGAGTCTTCAGTGATATTCACTGCGCCTTTGTCTCTTCTTTTGCTCTCGGTCATTGCACTTCTGGTTAGCAGATTCTTCTCTGTGGGGCAGGTTTCTAAGCTGTGTCACCCACAAGTCACAGTTCAATTTTACTGGTTGAATTTTGTATCCAGTTTTTTGTTTGCAGTCACTTGTGCCACTCCCTCCAGCAAGATCCAGGTCTGGGTTCTTACGTTAGACTTCCACCACGGTCTCTGTAGCCCCAGCTCCTGGTTCACCAGTCTCCACCTCCTGTGAAAGCATGCTGAGGCTGCACTGTTGTCTATACAACCTTTCTTCCACTTCCAGTTTGAGCAGTTCCTGGGATTAGGGAGACACCAGGTGCCTGACTGGTTTATTGGTGGTGCTGATCTTGCTGGAACCTGCTGGCCATTAGGTTTGAGGGCTACCGAGACCTATTTTGATCCAAAGGGTGCTGAAGTCAGTGTTATTTTCCCTGTGGGTCCAGTGCAATGCACTGAGCTGCAAGTGTGTTTGCTCCCAGCATAGCACATGCACTGCTCACTGTTGTCCCTCCAGTCTCATAACCTTTGCCACACTACAAAATGGCACCAGATATGCCACTGGTGGAGTTCTAGATCTGCTGGCAGTTAGGTCTGGGGCTCAGCTTAGTGCGTGTGCAGTTGTATCCCACAGCCTTTGCCTCTCTACACAAAATGGCACCTGATGCGGCTCGGGTGGGGGTCTGTGCTGTGAAATCCACCCCATTTCTGCACCACTTGTTTGGGGTATACTGCTCGGTCTCTGTTGCTGTTCGACTCAAACAAACCATCAGAACAGGCACTTCTTTGGCTGGGTTCTCCTCCTGAGCTCCTGGTGAGCTCCCCTTCCCACCTGGCTGCTGCTGCTGGAGCTCTGGACGGTGGTGGAGCATGGACTGCCACTCACCGACTGCCACGGGGTCATCTGGTCACTGTAACACCACACTGTTGTTTCCACTCCTTTCCTGTGCCCCTCCGTCTCCTGGTGCCCCTCTGCCATCAGCCTGTCCTCTCCTGTTTCCTGGAAGGTGACTCTGCTTCACCCTTGCTGATGTTTCTCTGTCTAACTGTCCTTACGCTGTTCCACCGTCTTGATTCCAGTGCTTGCATTTTAAATGTTTTCCTGAACTGTCTTTGGAGCTAACCCTGCAGAGCTGTTACTGTATCAGGACGTGGACATATTACCTGACCCATGTGTTTCAAGGCCATTGTTTGTGTGAAGTGTCCGGGTGTGCTCAACTCAGGAACTGTGCTGTCCCTCCTCTGAGCCTGTGGAAATGCAGTCACCCGCCGCATGCTTTGTCATGGCTGTAACGCTCGTTTTCCTTGTGGGTGTTGGATGTGTGCCTGACCTGTGAGAGCACCAGCGCAGCACCTGGGGCCTGCGGGTACCAAAGTTGGTCAGGACTCCTGCATGCCTGCATGTTTATGGGGAGTATATTCCTCAAGCCTTCCCGCAACTCAACACTTGAACCCTGAGACGGCCTTGCCATCAGAATCAATGTGATGTCGGGCTGTTAATACATTTGTTCTGTTTGTGTTTTGTTTTCTCATCATTGATCCCAACATCAGGCCCTTTCCCAGAGTAACAGCTTGGCATGTCATAGCCGTTGTTTGACGTGTCTCACGGCATTCGTGTAACCGCTGGTACGTGTCCAAGGTTACTTTCCCATGTGTCCTGGCTTTAACACCAGTCCGTGTTGAATGCTGGACAAACAGTATAATTAGGTTTGAATCATTTTCAATCAGGATAACAGTAATAAACATTGAAATAACGCACAGTTACTCACCAGGACTGGTGATGACATAGTTCACATAAATACCAAGATCGAGATTGGGGGGTCAGACAAAATGGTGTTACCAAGTCACACAGAAAGTACGTTACTTATCCATCGGGTATAGAAACAAAGTGGGAATCTGGGCAATTTTTTTTTTTTGAGACTTTAGTATTTCAAAGTTTATTCCTGGTGGGTGACTTCCCTTGTCTCGTGCCATTTTAAATCTGTGTGTTTCAGTTTGACATGCAGTGTGGCGATCTCAGGCCCTGCTAACATGGCTCCTCTCGCTTCTCTCTCTGCCAGGTGCCCTCAGGCTTCTCCACTCCCCCCGAGGACCTGCCCCCTGTGCCCCACCTGGCCTGCTGCACTCTGGACAAGCTGTATCTGCTGATGGGCAGGGAACTGGAAGACCTGGAGGAAGTGCCTCCAGGAAACGTGCTCGGTAGGGTGATGCTGGGGTCTGGGTTTACCTCTGCTGCTGCCTACAGCCGAGGGCTCCGTGAGCCCTGTGAAGGGACCAGCTTTGATCTCGTCTTTGCTTTGATGCCTTTGTTTCGCTGTCTTTGCTCAGTGCGTTTGAGTAGCATGTGGATCAGTTAGTTGCCATGAATGATAAGAGCTAATTTTGAAACGTGTTACTTACAGTAATCCGTGAATGCTTTATCCTAAGCTGGGGTTCCATCTTGGGGGAGCAGAGGGGAGCTAGAAAGTTGAGCTAAATGACTTAGACATCACTCAGTATAGACTTTTGATTCTGTCGGAAACTCTTCTGTTTTAACACATTGTCGTTTTTCCCTATATTTTGTAGATTCTACATACTGACTTTACTAAGAAAAGTTGATCGTTAGTTTGCATAGAGATAATGTTCTTCATCACCGTAGTGTTTATTACTTGCTAAGCCTGTGTCCTTCATTTGTGGAACTCACTTTTTGAGGTCCCTATTTTAACTGTAAAGAGTTAGATTGAAGAATGTCTCTGGAATCATCACTAGAAACCAATGTGTACTGTTAAATATTTTATCCCACTGTTGTCTTAGATTCAGAACCCTTAGGGTCATTGCCAGCTGTTGTTTCAGAAAAACCTGGTATCTATGGACTGGCTGCCTAAGATGGAAAGCTTTAAGAGACCAAGAAAGAGGCACACAAATCCAGGGTTACACAGCTTGTACTGTATTAGGGACTCAAGGTGGAAGTTTGTTTTGGGTTGCTGCAAGACTGAAGGGCCCCTGTACCCCAAGACTGGGGAGAAGTAAATGCTAACGCTAGAGCCTGTTCAGAAGGAGTCTGCCCTTTCTCAGGTATCAGAGAAAGGACATCTCTCCTGCCTGCTCCCAGCACAAAAGGCTCGGCAGACCGTCTACCCTGTAGGGTTTAGGGCAGCCGTCAGGATCGCCTAGGTAAGGTGCCAGGTGGTGGTTGTGAGCGAGGTGAGTGCAGTCAGGTCAGGCTGTGCTGTGGAGGGCTGCTTGTTGGGTGATTCCTTAGTCCATGGTAAATTTGGTAAACAGTCTCCCCTGAGCGCAGCTCTCACCTACCGGCAGCCAACAATTAAAACAGAAATGAATACAGGACAGTGAGGTATATGTTGTTTCTTCTAGAAGCAAAAGAACATTAGCTTCTAAAGGTTTCTGTGCGGCAGCCGGCAAAGCCACATCTGCTGAGATGGGAATGAATGCCCCCCTTGGGCTCCCTAACTTCAGGCCAGCTAATGCCTCGAGATCCAACCACGGAGAGGAGGCCGCCGGAAACTCACACGGGTTGTTGTCTCCAGCACGCAGGTCAGGCAGGCCTCATCTGGAGACTTTGAAAGCTCTCATTCAGAGAGGGCCTTGACTTTGATCGGAGTGTTGGAGGTCTGCCAGCTCTGATTCTACAAGAAATGACTTGAGCCACTAAAGGCACACCGAAGAGCTATGCACTAAAGCTGGGTGCTGGGTGTTTCTTCTGCTCCCAGGATCCTTTTGGACGAAACTGGCTGGTGTAGCTCATCAAATATCAAATACCAAGCTTCCAAACAGGTGGAAAAGTAGTCAGAAGCTAGAACTTCTACTTATTTCATGAAAAAAAACATGATTAAGAACTAAAAGGAAAAAAATGAATCTCTACAGAGGAGCATTAAGATTTCGTCAACAGATTTCTTCAGATAAAGTCCGCAAAAGCCAGAAAACAGTGGCTGTTTTGGGCCAATAACTTAGACTTTTTGTCTACAAAAGAAGAATTTCATGGTTATGCCTTACCTTTTCAGACAGCTCTGAGTCGGACACTGAAAATACAGAACACATGTTAGCAGTAGTGACCCTTCCTACACCATGTTTAATAAAAGCAGCTTTTTCAAGGTAGGAGTAGATGGAGACAGACCAGCAGCAGGGCCAGGGCGTCTGGGGACGGTTAGAGGTAAGAAGCTGACGGCTCGGGAGAGCGCCAGCTGGCAGCCGCAGGTGCCGAGTGCGCGCTGGGCAGCAGGCCAGCTGTGTCAGCACAGGTTCTCCTTTGCAGCGGGATTGGCTGCTTGGGTGGGTTTGGAACGGAAGGAGTCCTGTGACTGCATTTTGCCCCAGTTCCTTGTCCCTGCATCGTAAGTCGATGGCTTTAGATGAACATGGTGTTTGTTTGTTTGTGCATCTGCAGTTACTGATACGGCTTGATGAGGACCAAACCCTCTGTGCTTCATGTGATGTCTAGGGCTGTCAGTCACCGTTCTGGGGGTGGTGCTGGCTGCAGCCTGGGGCCAGGACCAAGTGTGGGCCTGAGGTCTTTTGCAGGTGGCTGCTTGGTGCTCATGGCACAGTGATGGGGAGAGGCAGGTGGAAGCTGGATCAGCTTTGATCTTTTAGCCTCCAAGGCCTGCAGCCTGCCTCCTGTCACACTGATTTTGTTAGAAACGAATCATTAGGAAGGAATTACCACATTCAGGGGCTCGGCATAATAGCCTAATGGCTGAATCATTACCTTGCATATGCCAGGATCCTGTATGGGCGCTGGTTCATGTCCCAACTGCTCCACTTCCCATCCTGCTCCCTGCTTGTGGCCTGGGAAAGCAGTAGAGGACGGCCCAAAGCCTGTGGGACCCCGTACCCACGGAGAGACCCAGAAGAAGCTCCTGGCTTTGGATCAGCTCAGCTCAGCTCAGCTCTGGCCGTTGTCGCCACTTGGGGAGTGAACCAGCCAGCAGATGAGCTTTCTCTCTTTTCCTCGTTGTAGATCTGCCTTTCCAATACATATAAGAAACCTTTAAAAATTTAAAGTAAAATAAAGAATGCCCATATTCAGAGAGCGAGAGCTGATTCCTGCATTTGATGGGAAGCTTGGATTTGCAGACCTGCTTTAAAATGACCGCGCCACACTAATCACAGATAATTTCTTGTCTTGTTTTCCTTTGTGTTTTAGCAGACAGAGCCTTGGCAGCACACACACTGCAAACAGACATGAACACATTCAGAGTGATCAGGGCAAGCCTGTGGGCTCCTTATTTATTTATTTATTTTTTATCTTTGTTAAAATAGGCAACAAGTCATTTCTATTTAATAAGAAAACAGTAGAAAGTGACATGACTTATGCCCTCATATGCTTTTTTTTAGCATTAAAGATACAGGGCCAAGAAATCTATGAAGTGCAGGTGAAAATTTTTTTTGCTGGAGAAGGAAATGAAAACATTATATGGCATGCTTGGACAATTCAGTGTTGTGTAGTTAAAGTGTAAAGAAAAGTTCTTTTATGGGTACTTGAAAAATACAGATTTCACATTGGAACTTGGCTATAACTCACTCAGAGAACCTACGCGTACTGATAAGTGTGGAATAGATTTCATGGTCTGGAAGTGGTTGATTTAAAGTTTCAAATACTTTAATTCCAACCTGATGTTTGCGAAGTTGGTCTAGTTAGGTCCAGAGAGACTGCACCACGTTGACTACACAATAGCCTTTTGTTCAGTTCCCTACTGAGATCTCTAAAAATAAATGTTTGCTACAGGCTCTTATTAAATGTGAGAGGAAATTGAATTAGAAATCCGCCTCTTTAGCGTCTTTCGTAGATCTCTTCCATATGTTTACTTCGTTAAAAGTTCAGACATGTATTCAAATGGAAACACGATATTCTTCTTTTCACAGCGTGAGGGAAATGATAAATATTAATTGACTTTTTTCTGATTTTTTTTTTTTTTTTTTTGTTCTGCCACGGAGGCTTCCTGGGTTGGTAGGAGGTCAGTGCTGCCCGTCAGTGCGGCAGGAATGGAGGAAGGAAGCACAGAATGTGAAGGGAGGAGAATTCCCCGTCACGGGATAACCAAGGAGGCAGGAATTCCTGGTGGCTTTCATTTATTTATTTATTATTTACTTATTTATTCAAGGATTGCATTTTACTTGAAAGAGTTACAAAGAAAGGGAGGGACAGAGAGGTCTCCCACTTCCTAGTTTGCTCAAATGGCCACAGCTGTCAAGAGTTCAGCTGATCTGAAGCTGGAAGTCAGGAGCTTCTTCTGGGTCTCCCCACGCAGGTGCAGGGGCCCGTGGCCTTGGGCCAGCCTCCGTTGCTTTTTCTTAGGCGATAAGCAGGGAGCTGGGTCAGACATGGAGCAGCCAAGACTTGAACCAGTTGCCCCCATGGGATGCTACAGACAGAGGATGAGCTTATCACCCTACCATGTCAGCCCCATTGATGGGTTTTAGTAATACATTTCATCTATTTTAAGAGAATTCTCTTTAGAATGTGCCTATTAAGTCTTGGTGGTAATTCTGTAATACTCTTAGTTTCCTTACTAGTGATTTTGTGTTAAATGTACTTATTAATATTTGCACCTGGAGAGACCCTAATGGCTTTCATTAAAACAAACACTTCTGCTCTTTCCTGGCAGTTGCATGTCTGGTTTTGTTTTTGTTTGCGTCTTGCTAATGATATGGTAAGTAGCAACAGGGCGGCTGGTCTGTCTGGTGCTTTCCTGACTTGGCGTGTGAATGTCCCTGGTGTTTTAGTTTCATGTTTGTGTGTGCTTGTGACTGCTCGGGATCTCTTCCCATGCAGGAGAGTTGAAGTGTTTCTTTTCTAGAAAAACAAAACAGGAATAGAAACTGAGTTTTCTTGGTACACTCTCAGCATCCGAAGACAAAATTGCCAAGTTTTCCTCCTGGTTGTAACCTGATGCCCATGGGTTGTGTTTCATCTCTTGATGAGCAGGATGCCCTGCCTTCCCGGTGGCGGGGTGAGGGGACAGCCTTGACCCGTCGGTTGCATAGTCTTTTCCTAGTAAGCCACCAGCATGGTATTCCAGATTTTGCTGACATAGCAAGTAAAACCAGCCATTGGGAGGGGTTCATGATGGTACCAAAATGGGGTGCTTCCATCTTTTTCACTCCCTACAGCTACAGTGCCAGGTAGGTCACCACTCACTAAATCTAAGTCACTTAAATTCAAATGAGTGAAATCACGTAACTCGAAAATGTAAATGCTT